TAGATTAGCATGTTTGTATGTATGTGTGTGTGTGTGTGTGTGTGTGTGTGTGCATTACATGTATGTGCAATTTGTGTTTTTAAAACCTTTTTCCAAAATTGATTTCATATCACTGGTGTTAGCATCATAAAAATTAGTGCACTTTTAATATCTGTTTTGTATTCTGTATTTGTATGTCTATTTATTCTAGAAAGTGGTGTTTGGGAGGCTTTATTGATTGTTATTGTGTGTCTGTGTGAATTGCTTCATTCATTATAAGGGTACTTTTTTTTTTTAAAGCAGAAAAACAAGAAACAACAACAATAATAAATGAAAGATACAATATGTTTGGAGTTTTGGACCCATTAAAGATAGATTGCACACAGACTGTCTTCACAGCAATGAAAATAGCACGCTCTTTAGCAACTCATTCCTGACCACACATTTCACAATTCTCCTCCTATACCCAAACACCTGCTGACGCAATACAAAACATGCAATGACAATGAGTCCACAACAGAAACTGACAAAAGTGAGCATAAAATGCCTAAATGCAAAAAAAGTAAAGACAAAACTCAACTAAAAGAAGGCTAATTTTATTATAAATGAAAGATACAGAGGAGACAATACTGATTGAAGTTACTACAAGAGATATACAAAATGAAAACGCATAACAAGCGCCATCTATCTTCTCCCAATACAAGAGAGCGCAAGCTCCGAGAGCAACAACACTACATTAACTTACACAACACACCGTATCAAATCTCCCAGCTCACAAGACAACACACACAAAATACGAAAACAATCCTAAACACAAGGCGCATTACTACTAGTGAACTAACACTAATCTGGATAAGTGATCCCAGTTGCAGCTTTCTAAACGACCACGTCTCTTCACTATCTGAGATATGAAGGAGAGCAGCGAACATTACACACAAAACAGCAAAACCCCACACACCCGAGCAAAACCGTATGAGAGGAACTGATGGCGAGGTAAAACTCCAGAACTAATAGTTCCTGCACTCCCACCAATTGAGTGAGAAGTCCTCGGCATTAATCACTTCATAATAAAAACAAACCGATCTACAAGATCGAGACAACATTGATTATGAAACTTGTACGAATACAGCAAATGAGATCACATTATTCCACTCTCACAGCATCAGCAAAACGCTCAACTCAATCCTAACCCTCGGACACATTCCCACTCGCCAAATGGAGAAACCATGCCAGAAAGTCCATTCCCAATTATTCACTATGCGGGAACATAACACAGACTTCAAATAAATTAACGGCCACGTTCCCATTTCTAGCCAACAGATTTCAATAGATATTAGAATACATTATTTGATCAAATAGACTTCACAACGTTAAGAGGACAATCATATAGTTATTACGAAGGGATTGCCAAAATGGCATTTAGCATAAAATGTGCAAATTCACACGGCACTGGCTTTAATGACCTTGTTGTTGAAGATATTAACTAACGAAAAGAAACAAATGAATTAGTGATAGGTGGAATATTAAAATGTGATCTACAAAAAGACGTTGACACAATTGCCCGTCAAATAGTAATGGAGCAAAATGGAAGATTCTCGTCATAAAGGGATACAGAGCACTGCAGTGAGTTACAGAGTGTCCTGAATGGGAAGGAATACAGACACGAACACTTTGATACATCATCGCTCAATCATATAATGGATAGAACTTGAGGGGTGGCCACAAGGATCACTATCCTAGGACCCCCTCTAGTCCAACAGTAACATCAATGAATTATGCAAAATATCAGCGTTCATCGAAACACATCCTCTTTGCCGACGACAACCACCATCAGGTCATGTGCAGTTGCCAAGGTGTTTTTGGAGCTACTTTTGAGACCCGCGATATCAGTTGCAGTATGAACTAAAGTACTAAACCTGCCCATTTCTCTAGGAGCTACAAACCACGCGCTAAAAAAGCATAATCATTACAAACACCCATTACAGCACATAGATTACAAATCCTCTGATAATACACCAAAACACACACCAACTGAACATGTTTAAAAGAAATGCTGTATTTAAGGAGTCATGATGGGGGGGAAGAAGAACAAATCGATTTTTTGCATCAAGCTCTTTCCAAACCTTGATTTATTAGTTGGATTATTCTGTGTCAGATTTTATAATGGTGGTTTTTTGAAAAAACAGAAAAAAATGAGTGTTTTTCAGTACTTCCTTCCTCATCTGTGTCTACTTGAACAAACATCCAACTACAACTATATTTACATTATCTCCATATACCGCAGTTGTAGTTTGCTGTTTTTTTTGGCCAAATCATGGTCCGATACTTCCAAAGAAATATATAAACCCATCTGCAATCGCCTTTTTTTACCCTTAACTATTACCATTCACGCACAGTATCCATGGCATACAAGGCTTTATTAGATGCCACGACCAATCATACTGTGATTTCATATTGTTTCCAATCTCCTTTGATATCATTGATCTTTTATCATTCATCATTATGGTGTATAAATTCTTCTCCTACTTTCTCTCAAATACTGTGATTTGTATTTTGTTATTTTTAAAAATCACAATTTCCTTGTTCAAAATCCTAAGAATTGTCTAAATGAATATGTATTTCTTTTTCAGGCATGAGAAAGCCCATTAGTTTAACCAAGAGTTATTGTGGAGTCTTTTTTACCTAAATGGAATTAACGGGACATATTTTTGCCATAGATGAGTTTTAAAAAGGAGTTTTGTAAGCCTCGTATTTACTTCTGACATTTTTGCAAACCATGTTCCCAGTTTCTGTGATTGCCAAATCCAATAGTATCAGGGCGTTTATGGATTTGATCTGTATTAGTTACACCTTACAATGGGCACAATCACGGTTTTTACAGTTTTATGTTATATTTAGAACATAAATCAATGACAACAAAAAACTAGGCAGATCAATAGACCTAAAAAATACTGAGCAAGACCTACACACATGCGTTATTTCAACATCCTAAGAAAGCACAACTCCCCACCGAGCTGAAAGCTACCTTGAGCTCGTCATGGTTCTGCCCGGTGTGCATTTATAACAGAATTGGATACAGAGACCCAACTACGGCAAACACCATCACATTACCTGCGTCTCAATAAAAACACTCTACACACTCTGTCAACAAACGCCATTTCCACTAATAATCTACATAATAGCGAAATCATTAATAAGACTTCAAAAAGAATGAGCTACAGAAGTCTCCACTCCCACAAGAAAGTACATTAAGCAAAATCACTTAGAGTCGTTATATTAATTACCTAAAATAAATATATTCTACTACCCCACTCACCACCGATATCAATCTAACCTGAAATCTTAAACACACTCTCACTCACACTTACACCATCAACACACCAACATCACGAACCCTCTGCGAGTACCAACCATTTCTATCTGTTCTGCATCAACCACAAACGATATCGAACACAAAAGTAACGGCAAGACACGGACAGCGTAACAAGGACAAACCGCGAATGATCAACAATATGTACAACATTATGTTAAATATCAACATAATAAAGCCACTCTCCCTTTCCTCACTGATGTTAGTCCCTGTTAGTAACAGAAACAACATTTTTCAATACTTCATTTACAAAAACCACCCTCCAACTTTTGAGCTCTTTCATCAACTATTCTTCATACCATCGTTTTCTCTTGAAAACTGCTCTTCTGACTCTCGTACAATACCTGATCAAAAGCGCATTCTTCTCACGACACTTGATGAGCGCGAAAATCACGGGAACAATACTGTCGTCTTGGATATCACTTCCACAAAATGCGACTGCAGCAGCATAAAAAACATCTACTATTTGAAAAAAAAAATGCCACACCCCAAAAAAGGAAAAAAAAATGTTTATTTTTCCCTCTTTGTTAAAAATTTCTTATTGTCAAACCTGCAATCTAGTAAAATACAGATAAAACACACAAAACAAACACACACAAAAACAAAAACACACAACCAAACCCCTCATTCGTGTGATATTCATATCGGCAAAAAAAACGTAACGTCTCTAATCAAATGGAAATCCAGTCATGTCTCCCATCCCATATTATCCATTTGATGTATTTACTCATCGTTCGAATATCATGTCGGGGCGGAGAAAACTATCTGAAACCATCACACTGGGGCTACCAAAGCTCTTGAGATGAATGAGACGTTTTAGGCTCAAAATTAGTTTTGTATTCCTCAGTTTCAGAAGTGAGCTGTCCACTATTAGAAGTAGTAGATCTTTATTAAGGAATTTGAGGAAACATTGCTTAAAAAAAAAGGAGGAAGTCAGTGAAATGGTCAAAGGGAAAACTAGGGGGCCCCAAACTAAACCCAGGGGGACCAGGACCACGCCACCCCCCCCACCCAAGGCATACAAAGGAACCATCCAAGGACCATGAATAAAATCCAGGGGGGCCCCCCACACCCTCTTTCAAAAACGGCCTTTTTCCCTGTCACCCGCTATGAAGGAAAAGGTAGGGAAAAACCATGTGAGAAACTAGGGGGGGGGGGGAAGAAAATCAACATCTCCCACAACACAACAACCGCGAATGCAATTCTTACTTGGCACGCGAAGGACCAAAGTAACCCAACAATTTAACAACCTTTTAGGAGCCCAGAAATAAAAAAAAACAATACCACTCCATTCCATCAGTTTTTCTACCTCTGGCAAAGTAATTGCATTTGGTTTAATTGATGGAAGCGCCGCAAGGGCTTTTTAGCATCCACGTTACACCAAAGGGGGGGGTGGGGGGGGGACCAGTAACAACTCCAACTCAAGAACCAATGGTGCCAAGATACCCCCTAGTCCAACCCCAGCGCGTGCGAGCAAACGTAAATCACTTCTAAATAAAAGCCTCCACCTTATGCGATAAAGCAAATACAGTGATCCTTCTACCTCCAAATCATTCTTAGGGGTGGAACAGATCGTTTGGTCCCAAACAAATCTACTCCACTCATCCCCCACCGGATAGTGACGTGTAACGGAACCGACAATCAAAAACTTATGGGACAGTCTGTGCCGTTTCCCCCAACACAAGAATGGCAGAGAGTGCAGACTGCGAACACCAAACTCCAACAGGACCACCCTACCAAGGCGGACCGAAACGGCGAGGCACGGAGCAGGTACCACAAGTTATATTCCCACTCTGTATACCCCAACACAAATTATAATTATAGCTCGGCGGCGACGATCATCTACTTGAACACATCGCTGTACAACGCCGCATACAGCAACAATCTCATGCATTGGACCCGTGGGGGGCCGGGCCGGGGACACCGATCCACGGACATCCGAGGTCAGCAACCATCTCAACACCATGGCGCCTGGAGTAGATTTTATAAGCGCAAAGAAGGGCTAATTTCTCCCTCTTCTACACTGGCCTCTGCGGATATCAGCGGCAACGAGCGGGACCAAGCGCAGATTTACACTACTTGGAAACGATCCATTACAAACAACCACTTGCCACTGACAAATGACACGGGGACGCGCACTAAGGAGGGAGCCTATCCTCCCATGGGGTCGATGAAGCTTAGTAACGCGGACAGGCAGGGGGAAAACTAAAGCCGATGGGCAGCGCTCCACTGGGGATTATAGTGGTGGTTTTCGTTCGCGGGAGGTTCCCAAGCCTGCCGACAAAAAAACAAAAAAAAAATAAAAAACCCTTGGCACAGGGCCCTTTTTCATGGAAAATTCCACCCAACGGGTTTCCGCTACTCGGTGAAAAAGGGGACCTTTTTCAGCTTTCTAAAGTTTGGATCTCCGGGCTTTCCTTGTTTTTTTGAATGGTTTTTCCACTTAAGGAGGTGACGTTCTTTATTTTGGGCTTTGGAGTTTGTTTCAAAAAATAAAATAAAAAACCGTAGTTTTGAGGGTTCCTTACTGTGGTTTTTTTCATGGATGTGGGGGGAGAATTTTCGGATGCTTGCGTTCAGGACTCTTAATGCTTCTCATCTAAGATTGGGGTTTTCTTATTCCTTTGGGACCCCCCCATCTGACAGGGACCATGATCAGTTTTTTTTAAGCTGTTTAAAATTAAAAATCAAGTCATCAGGGGGGGTCACCCTTTGTCAAAACTTTAAAATTCGTGATGTTGATTTGTTTGCTTTTTAGGGGGACATTTGGTTGGAAAAGCCACGGTTTGTTGGGGGGGGGTGGACTCTTTGAAAAAATCACTTTCCCTGGGTCTCTTGAATTTTTTGGCCGTTTGGGCGGGGGTGTCGCTTCATTGGTTTGCTTTCCAAATTCCCATTTTTCCTTTCCCTTTTTGGGGTGTTTTTTGGAGTTTTGTTCATATTTTCCCACTAAAAAGACCAGAGAGAGACCAGACAGAGAGACCAGAGAGAGACCAGAGAGAGACCAGAGAGAGAGACCAGAGAGAGACCAGAGAGAGACCAGAGAGAGAGACCAGAGAGAGACCAGAGAGAGAGACCAGAGAGAGACCAGAGGGAGAGACCAGAGAGAGACCAGAGGGAGAGACCAAAGAGAGAGACCAGAGAGAGACCAGAGAAGGACTTGAGAGAAAGACCAGAGAGAGACCAGAGAGAGACCAGAGAGAGACCAGAGAGAGAGACCAGAGAGACCAGAGAGAGAGACCAGAGAGAGACCAGAGAGACCAGAGAGAGAGACCAGAGAGACCAGAGAGAGACGAGAGAGAGACCAGAAATTAATTCCTGGTTCTCTTCCAACTTTCTCAAACTCAACAGCTCTAAAACTGAAGTCCTTCTCGTGGGCACCCCCTCCACTCTCTCCAAATCTAACAGCTTCTCTGTCTCCATCCATAACACATCTGTCCTCCCCTCCCCTCTCCATCCATAACACATCTGTCCTCCCCTCCCCTCTCCATCCATAACACATCTGTCCTCCCCTCCCTCTCCATCCATAACACATCTGTCCCCCCTCCCTCTCCATCCATAACACATCTGTCCTCCCCTCCCCTCCCCATCCATAACACATCTGTCCTCCCTCCCCCCCTCCCATCCATAACACATCTGTCCTCCCCTCCCTCCATCCATAACACATCTGTCCTCCCTCCCCTCCATCCATAACACATCTGTCCTCTCCCCCTCCATAACACATCTGTCTCCCTCTCCCATCCATAACACATCTGTCCTCCCCTCCCCTCCCTCCCATCCATAACACATCTGTCCTCCCCTCCCCCCTCCATCCATAACACATCTGTCCTCCCTCCCTCTCCATCCTAAACATCTGTCCTCCCCTCCCCTCAGGTCAAGAGTCTGGGTGTCATCCTCGACAGTTCACTCTCCTTCCAATCTCACATCAATAATATCACTCGGTCCGCCTACTTCCACCTGCGCAATATCTCTCGTCTCCGCCCCTCTCTCACCCCCCACACCACCCTCGTCTCCGCCCCTCTTTCACCCCCCACACCACCCTTGTCTCCGCCCCTCTCTCACCCCCCACACCACCCTCGTCTCCGCCCCTCTCTCACCCCCCACACCACCCTCGTCTCCGCCCCTCTCTCACCCCCCACACCACCCTCGTCTCCGCCCCTCTCTCACCCCCCACACCACCCTCGTCTCCGCCCCTCTCTCACCCCCCACACCACCCTCGTCTCCGCCCCTCTCTCACCCCCCACACCACCCTTGTCTCCGCCCCTCTCTCACCCCCACACCACCCTCGTCTCCGCCCCTCTCTCACCCCCCACACCACCCTCGTCTCCGCCCCTCTCTCACCCCCCACACCACCCTCGTCCCCCCCTCTCTCACCCCCCACACCATCCTCGTCTCCGCCCCTCTCTCACCCCCCACACCACCCTCGTCTCCGCCCCTCTCTCACCCCCCACACCACCCTCGTCTCCGCCCCTCTCTCACCCCCCACACCACCCTCGTCTCCGCCCCTCTCTCCCCCACACCACCCTCGTCTCCGCCCCTCTCTACCCCCCACACCACCCTCGTCTCCGCCCCTCTCTCACCCCCCACACCACCTCCATCCTCGTCCACAGCCTCGTCACCTCTAGGATTGACGACTGCAACTCACTTCTCTTCGGCCTCCCCAACAAATCCCTCCAGAAACTGCAGCTCCTCAAAACTCTGCAGCTGCATCATCCCCCGGACCCCCACAGCTGACCACATCACCCCCGTACTCCGACAACTCCACTGGCTTCCTGTTAAACAACTGATTCACTTCAAAAGACTCCTCACCACTTTCAGAGCACTTCACAACCTGCTCCTCCTCCACTTATCTGACCTCCTCCACCCTGCCACTCCTGCTCCTCCTCCACCCTGCCACTCCTGCTCCACCTCCACCCTGCCACTCCTGCTCCACCTCCACCCTGCCACTCCTGCTCCTCCTCCACCCTGCCACTCCTGCTCCTCCTCCACCCTGCCACTTCTGCTCCACCTCCACCCTGCCACTCCTGCTCCACCTCCACCCTGCCACTCCTGCTCCACCTCCACCCTGCCACTCCTGCTCCTCCTCCACCCTGCCACTCCTGCTCCTCCTCCACCTATCTGACCTCCTCCACCCTGTCACTCCTGCTCCTCCTCCACCTATCTGACCTCCTCCACCCTGCCACTCCTGCTCCTCCTCCACCTATCTGACCTCCTCCACCCTGCCACTCCTGCTCCTCCTCCACCCTGCCACTCCTGCTCCACCTCCACCCTGCCACTCCTGCTCCTCCTCCACCCTGCCACACCTGCTCCTCCTCCACCCTCATACTCCTGCTCCACCTCCACCCTGCCACTCCTGCTCCTCCTCCACCCTGTCACTCCTGCTCCACCTCCACCCTGCCACTCCTGCTCCTCCTCCACCCTGCCACTCCTGCTCCTCTTCCACCCTGCCACTCCTGCTCCTCCTCCACCCTGCCACTCCTGCTCCTCCTCCACCCTGCCACTCCTGCTCCTCCTCCACCCTGCCACTCCTGCTCCTCCTCCACCCTGTCATTCCTGCTCCGCCTCCACCCTGCCACTTCTGCTCCTCCTCCACCCTGTCACTCCTGCTCCTCCTCCACCCTGCCACTTCTGCTCCTCCTCCACCCTGTCACTCTGCTCCTCCCACCTCCACCCTGTCACTCCTGGTCCTCCTCCATCCTGCGACTCCTGCTCCTCCTCCACCCTGCCACTCCTGCTCCTCCTCCACCCTGTCACTCCTGCTCCTGCTCCAACCTGGCACTCCTGCTCCTCCTCCACCCTGTCACTCCTGCTCCTCCTCCACCCTGTCACTCCTGCTCCTCCTCCATCCTGCCACTCCTGCTCCTCCTCCACCCTGTCACTCCTGCTCCTCCTCCACCCTGCCACTCCTGCTCCTCCTCCACCCTGCCACTCCTGCTCCTCCTCCACCCTGCCACTCCTGCTCCTCCTCCACCCTGTCACTCCTGCTCCTCCTCCACCCTGCCACTCCTGCTCCTCCTCCACCCTGTCACTCCTGCTCCTCCTCCACCCTGCCACTCCTGCTCCTCCTCCACCCTGCCACTCCTGCCCTCCTCCCCCTGCCACTCCTGCTCCTCCTCCACCCTGTCACTCCTGCTCCTCCTCCACCCTGTCACTCCTGCTCCCTCCTCCACCCTGTCACTCCTGCTCCTCCTCCACCCTGCCACTCCTGCTCCTCCTCCACCCTGTCACTCCTGCTCCTCCTCCCCCCCGCCACTCCTGCTCCTCCTCCACCCTGTCACTCCTGCTCCTCCTCCACCCTGTCACTCCTGCTCCGCCTCCACCCTGCCACTCCTGCTCCTCCTCCACCCTGCCACTCCTGCTCCTCCTCCACCCTGCCACGCTCCTCCTCCACCCTGCCACTCCTGCTCCTCCTCCACCCTGCCACTCCTGCCCGCACACTCCGCTCCTCCTCCACCCTCACACTCTCCGTCCCCCCAGCCAGACTCATCCCTGTGGCACACAGAGCCTTCAGCCACACTGACCTCCGTACCATTGACTCTCTTCCACTCTTCAAATCCAGACTCAAAACCCATCTGTTCAGACTGTCCTACCCCATCCCATAATGCACTTGACTACTGTTTTATTCTGTTGCTCCTGTTTTTAATGTTTTTTATTTTGCCTGTACAGTGTCCTTGGGTGTCTAGAAAGGCGCGTTTAAATAAAATGTATTATTATTATTATTGTTACCAGAGAGAGACCAGAGAGAGACCAGAGGGAGAGATCAGAGAGAGACCAGAGAGAGACCAGAGAGAGAGATCAGAAAGGGACCCGAGAGAGAGATCATAGAGGGACCAGAGAGGGACTAAAGAGATACAAGAGACCAGAGACCAACCAGAGAGAGACCAGAGAGACTGGTGAAAGACGCTACCGGAAGTGACACTTTTACTGATGGACAAGAGAGGGACCAGAGAGAGAGCAGAGAGATCAGAGAGTGACCAGTGTCACAAGCTGGCTCTATGCTTGTGTCAAAATGAGGGACAGACAGGTAGGGTCATTTACATATTTATTGTAAATAATGAAAACAACAAACAAAAGGTAATAATCAACAAGAATGAGGTGTGAGTATGTGAGCAGTGGAATGTGTGCAGTGTGTGCAAGTCAGTGAATGAAAACCAGTGTATGTGTGCGTATGTCTGAGTGTGAAAACAAAGCTAATCTTAACGAATGACGAAACAAAGAATCAAAGATCCAGTACCTGGAGGGAGCAGAGCAGAGACCAAGTGTTAGTGACACACACACATTTAAGCACAGGTTCCCCAATCACTGGATCCACCCTGCCTGAGAGGGAAAGGCCCCAGTCAGGCAGGGAGGGGCCGTGACACCAGAGAGAGAACAGAGAGAGGCCAAAGAGAGAGAACAGAGGGAGGGACCAGGAAGACTCCAGATTTAGAAACCAGAGAGAGGCCCCGTCCCAATACTCGCACTTCCACCCTCGCGCCCCTCATTTGCGCGTTCCCGATAAAGGGTGCGAGTGCGTAGGGTGTCCCAATTCTCCAGGGAGGTCTTTGGCCCCGCCCCCTTTGCGCCCCTGATCCACACTTCGCCGTAGCCTGCATCTATGCGCACTCTGGCGAAGGATATTGCCCATAATTCTTTGCGGTACACACCAAAACGTCGGGAAAATGCATTTAAATATACATTTTGAAATATATATGCAGTATGTGTGTAAATAAGTTTTGCTATGTTACTTGGAAAGAAGCATAAACGTCTGATGAAGAATTATGGACATTGTGTTTTAACAATTCAATAACTTTTTAAAGCAAGAGTTCATATAACATTGAATTTAAACTTTACACTTAGTACAATAATCTTAGAATGTATAAAAACTGACCAGATAGTTAGTTACCCACATTTAACTTAAAATTATACAGCTATCTCTAATTAAAAACAACTAATATACATGTATTTTAACGTGTGTGAAGCAATTCAATTTGTTTCCCAAAGGGTCAGACAAAATTACCTTTAATGTTTATAAAGTTTAGGTCTGAAAATGACCATCTCTTGACGAGTCGATGACGTAACCTGCACTCAGTGTGCACTGTCCCAATTCTGCCTTTTGAGCACGCTTGTAACCTGCCACTCCAACCCTGGTGTGCACTTCAAACAAATGCACACTTCATAGGAGGGCGTAGGGTGCAGTGTGGGTATTGGGACTGGGCCAGAGACTATAGGGAAATCAGCCAAACCAGTTGAGTCGGTTGTGACGACTTCCTCCTTGGTCTTGTGTGTTTCAGAGCAACACGACAGAGACTTCTTCAGGAACAATAAGGATCAGTCTGTCTGTGTTAGTGACCAGAAAGTAAGTACCATGTGTCTGTGTTAGTGACCAGAAAGTAAGTACCATGTGTCTGTGTTAGTGACCAGAAAGTAAGTACCATGTGTCTGTGTTAGTGACCAGAAAGTAAGTACCATGTGTCTGTGTTAGTGACCAGAAAGTAAGTACCATGTGTCTGTGTTAGTGACCAGAAAGTAAGTACCATGTGTCTGTGTTAGTGACCAGAAAGTAAGTACCATGTGTCTGTGTTAGTGACCAGAAAGTAAGTACCATGTGTCTGTGTTAGTGACCAGAAAGTAAGTACCATGTGTCTGTGTTAGTGACCAGAAAGTAAGTACCATGTGTCTGTGTTAGTGACCAGAAAGTAAGTACCATGTGTCTGTGTTAGTGACCAGAAAGTAAGTACCATGTGTCTGTGTTAGTGACCAGAAAGTAAGTACCATGTGTCTGTGTTAGTGACCAGAAAGTAAGTACCATGTGTCTGTGTTAGTGACCAGAAAGTAAGTACCATGTGTCTGTGTTAGTGACCAGAAAGTAAGTACCATGTGTTTGTGTTAGTGACCAGAAAGTAAGTACCATGTGTCTGTTTTAGTGACCAGAAACTAAGTACCATGTGTCTGTGTTAGTGACCAGAAAGTAAGTACCATGTGTCTGTGTTAGTGACCAGAAAGTAAGTACCATGTGTTTGTGTTAGTGACCAGAAAGTAAGTACCATGTGTCTGTGTTAGTGAGCAGAAAGTAAGTACCATGTGTCTGTGTTAGTGACCAGAAAGTAAGTACCATGTGTCTGTGTTAGTGACCAGAAAGTAAGTACCATGTGTCTGTGTTAGTGACCAGAAAGTAAGTACCATGTGTCTGTGTTAGTGACCAGAAAGTAAGTACCATGTGTCTGTGTTAGTGACCAGAAAGTAAGTACCATGTGTCTGTGTTAGTGACCAGAAAGTAAGTACCATGTGTCTGTGTTAGTGACCAGAAAGTAAGTACCATGTGTCTGTGTTAGTGACCAGAAAGTAAGTACCATGTGTCTGTGTTAGTGACCAGAAAGTAAGTACCATGTGTCTGTGTTAGTGACCAGAAAGTAAGTACCATGTGTCTGTGTTAGTGACCAGAAAGTAAGTACCATGTGTCTGTGTTAGTGACCAGAAAGTAAGTACCATGTGTCTGTGTTAGTGACCAGAAAGTAAGTACCATGTGTCTGTGTTAGTGACCAGAAAGTAAGTACCATGTGTCTGTGTTAGTGACCAGAAAGTAAGTACCATGTGTCTGTGTTAGTGACCAGAAAGTAAGTACCATGTGTCTGTGTTAGTGACCAGAAAGTAAGTACCATGTGTCTGTGTTAGTGACCAGAAAGTAAGTACCATGTGTCTGTGTTAGTGACCAGAAAGTAAGTACCATGTGTCTGTGTTAGTGACCAGAAAGTAAGTACCATGTGTCTGTGTTAGTGACCAGAAAGTAAGTACCATGTGTCTGTGTTAGTGACCAGAAAGTAAGTACCATGTGTCTGTGTTAGTGACCAGAAAGTAAGTACCATGTGTCTGTGTTAGTGACCAGAAAGTAAGTACCATGTGTCTGTGTTAGTGACCAGAAAGTAAGTACCATGTGTCTGTGTTAGTGACCAGAAAGTAAGTACCATGTGTCTGTGTTAGTGACCAGAAAGTAAGTACCATGTGTCTGTGTTAGTGACCAGAAAGTAAGTACCATGTGTCTGTGTTAGTGACCAGAAAGTAAGTACCATGTGTCTGTGTTAGTGACCAGAAAGTAAGTACCATGTGTCTGTGTTAGTGACCAGAAAGTAAGTACCATGTGTCTGTGTTAGTGACCAGAAAGTAAGTACCATGTGTCTGTGTTAGTGACCAGAAAGTAAGTACCATGTGTCTGTGTTAGTGACCAGAAAGTAAGTACCATGTGTCTGTGTTAGTGACCAGAAAGTAAGTACCATGTGTCTGTGTTAGTGACCAGAAAGTAAGTACCATGTGTCTGTGTTAGTGACCAGAAAGTAAGTACCATGTGTCTGTGTTAGTGACCAGAAAGTAAGTACCATGTGTCTGTGTTAGTGACCAGAAAGTAAGTACCATGTGTCTGTGTTAGTGACCAGAAAGTAAGTACCATGTGTCTGTGTTAGTGACCAGAAAGTAAGTACCATGTGTCTGTGTTGTGACCAGAAAGTAAGTACCATGTGTCTGTGTTAGTGACCAGAAAGTAAGTACCATGTGTCTGTGTTAGTGACCAGAAAGTAAGTACCATGTGTCTGTGTTAGTGACCAGAAAGTAAGTACCATGTGTCTGTGTTAGTGACCAGAAAGTAAGTACCATGTGTCTGTGTTAGTGACCAGAAAGTAAGTACCATGTGTCTGTGTTAGTGACCAGAAAGTAAGTACCATGTGTCTGTGTTAGTAACCAGAAAGTAAGTACCATGTGTGACGTGTTAATGTGTGACGTATGTATACAACAGTTACTATAAGAACAGTGGGCGGAGTCAAACACTGTTTTATTGTGTAGGAGTCTGGACTGACCACCAGCAGGGCGGCGACAGAGAGACTGAGCATGGACCAGAGAGAGCACTGTCCTCCCACCATCAGAAGGGCGGCGACAGAGAGCTCCATTGATCGATTGATTGACTTTAAAAAGGAGGAAGATCATGGGTAAGTCTGACTGTGATTCATGTGTGTCTGAGGCTAAGCAGGTCAGGGCCTGGGCGGTCATCTCCTGTTGTTCCTCTGTATCGTTGAACTGATTTTTTAGTTTTCAGATCCACAGCTCATTTTGATTTGAGGAATATTTCTGCTGTTAATACCATGTGTGACGTGTTGATGTGTCTGTGTTAGTGACCAGAAAGTAAGTACCATGTGTGACGTGTTGATGTGTCTGTGTTAGTGACCAGAAAGTAAGTACCATGTGTGACGTGTTGATGTGTCTGTGTTAGTGACCAAAAAGGAAGTACCATGTGTGACGTGTTGATGTGTCTGTGTTAGTGACCAGAAAGTAAGTACCATGTGTGACGTGTTGATGTGTCTGTGTTAGTGACCAGAAAGTAAGTACCATGTGTGACGTGTTGATGTGTCTGTGTTAGTGACCAGAAAGTAAGTACCATGTGTGACGTGTTGATGTGTCTGTGTTAGTGACCAGAAAGGAAGTACCATGTGTGACGTGTTGATGTGTCTGTGTTAGTGACCAGAAAGGAAGTACCATGTGTGACGTGTTGATGTGTCTGTGTTAGTGACCAGAAAGGAAGTACCATGTGTGACGTGTTGATGTGTCTGTGTTAGTGACCAGAAAGTAAGTACCATGTGTGACGTGTTGATGTGTCTGTGTTAGTGACCAGAAAGTAAGTACCATGTGTGACGTGTTGATGTGTCTGTGTTAGTGACCAGAAAGTAAGTACCATGTGTCTGTGTTAGTGATTGTTTATGAACAACTATAAACAACGACGTCACTCAAAGATCCTCCTGTAGATGGAACTGCAGAAGTTAAATGTCTGGGCTCAACCAGGACTAAACCAGGACTAAACCAGGACTAAACCATGATAAAGAGGATTTGGTCCTTGGTATGTCCCAGCCGCGGCGCCAGGGATAGGCCCGGGTAGCCCGGTGCCTACCAGTTTTTTTCTTGGCCTACTCAAATTTGTTCTTCGCCTCTCAAGTCATTAGCCTTTTTATTAAAAGTCATAATTTAAATATTGTTATTTTTATACACACATTATTGCCTAAATGTTGCGTTCTAATGTTTTAAGAAAATGTAAACCCCTGAGCGTTCACGTTGCTTCAAATATAGTCCTGTTTATTGGCTGAATAATTTTGTCCAATAATCTGCATGATCATATCACACAGCGCAAAGCTCGTTCCCGAGAACAACTATTCCTCGTCTTAAAGATTGTCAACGCTCTCAAAACATTCACAACAGAGCAGCCTTTTTAGTCATTTTAGTTTTAAGAAAGTTCAGCGTGAACTTCGTGAGGTAGAGGAGCCAGAGGCCCGGGCCCGTAGGTCCCAGAGGAGGAGGGTCAGGCCAGGCTCGCCTCGCACTGATGAGGTAAACCCCAGGCCTGTGTGTGAGACACACAGGGCCTCATGTATGAAACTTGCGTACGGACAAATCAGGGTGTAAATCAGGGTGGAATCACTTTTCGCATTTATCTATCTGGACGTGAGCGTACAATACGCAAAAAAATATACGGCAGGTCTGGAGGTGGAGTAAACGTATACGCTGATCTCAACCTTCGGCTCAACACGCCAAAACACGCATGAAATTCAGGATTTGGACAACAATAAACATATTCCCTCTGGCAAAATTATAAGCTGTGTTTTCATTGAGCATCATGTTTCAAAAGTTGAATTTGCGCATCGGAAAAAGTCTAATGGAAAAATGCAAACTTCGAATAAATCACAGCTCATGATCAGGACCCTCTATTAAATCTGACTTGTGTGTGTATTATTTTGATCTGTATGTTTTTTAAATGTGAAGCGGTTTGTGATCCTGAACTGTGAAAGGCTCTATATAAATACACTTTACGCAACAGGGATGTGTGACCCAGCTATTGCTGTGACAGGCTCTGCACTGCGTAATTACGCACGGCTATTTGTATTCCTCACATCTGGTAAAGCAATGTGTTATTTCATTAGATTTGTGTTAGCCTCACACAGACACACACCCCAATAACGCACCGATGGTATTGCTCACTCCAAATGTCTCACTGCCCTGTCCAGAGTGCGCAGCGAGTGCCGTGAGATATCGCGCCACATAACTCCTCAAATGTGCAGAAGTTTTGGCTTCAGTTTCTTTGTGAAATCTGGACCGCAAACACTCTCTGAAGTGTAAAGTGCTTCAATGCGCACTTCTACCCCGAGCCAGGCTGCGTCCAAGACGCTGCAGACGCTTCATTCATGAGAGCCACCGCTGCATAATAAATATGAATTCATTCATTCAATGAATCTATATTTACTCACTTCTACAATTCAAGAGAGATTTTTCTAATGTATCAAAACTATTTTTGCAAATTTGTGCAAAACGCAGCTGAATATATAGCGTATATTTATTTTTACATAAACATAACAAACAAACGTGCCTTTTGAGGCTTCCAACAGTCTTTTTGGACTTCCGTGCTGACCTGTCGCGAACATTGCTGCATAATTCTAGGCGTGACTTTCATAAATACGTTCGTATTCAGCTGATTAATCAACACCCGCAGCTGCGTATACGCTCAGATCTGGGCTGATCTCACACGTTCATAAATCCGACGTTGGATTTTGCGTAAATGGAATATACACCCCAAATGTACACATTTTTCTACGCAAGTTTCATAAATGAGCTTGTGTGTATGTGTGTGCTTGGGTGCGTGTGTGTGCGCGTGCGTGCGTTTGAACCATATTCTTTGAAACCCTAATTCCAGCTACCCCTTGTAGTTTGCGTGCGAATTTGGCCTACTTACTAATCTGCAGGCCTACCCAAAATTGCAAACCTGGCGCCGCTACTGGTATGTACCACTCCTTGTATCAGCAGCTCACAGACACAGTGTCCTGAAGACATGGACAGAGCTCATACCAGGTGTAGATACCAGGTGTAGATGATATCTGTGTGTTTGTGGAGGTGACGCAGCCTGTGGTGAAGGCCTCTCCAACACTGAAGCTCTCTTCTTCTGTGTCTCAGGATCCTCCACAAACTTCAGTCTGGACCTGGTCCCAGATGTGAGTCCCTCAAGAGTGACCGGTCTAAGGAGTTACCACGGAACTTCAGGAGTGACCAGTCTATGGGAGAACCAAGGAACTTCAGGAGTGACCGGTCTATGGATAAACGATGGAACTTCAGGACAGTGTGAGTTTCATGGACATAGGTGTCTCAGTCTCATGGACATAAGTGTCTCAGTCTCATGGACATAAGTGTCTCAGTCTCATGGACATAAGTGTCTCAGTCTCATGGACATAAGTGTCTCTGTCTCTCCACAGAGCGGCTGCAGATGTCTCCACTGGTCCGCACCATGGCTCTCACCTGGTCTCCATATTTAAGGTCTGTCTTCCAGTCGTTTGTAGATGTTGAGCTGAAGGACTAGTTTCACACAGACACTACAGGCAGATCCTCTGTACCTGTGTGCTGCAGCACGGGGACACTACAGGCAGATCCTCTGTACCTGTGTGCTGCAGCACGGGGACACTACAGGCAGATCCTCTGTACTTGTGTGCTGTAGCACAGGGACACTACAGGCAGATCCTCTGTACCTGTGTGCTGCAGCACAGGGACACTACAGGCAGTGATCCGCTGTACCCAGGCCCGTCGCAAGGGGGGTGCGAGGCCCTGTGCGAACTTGAAACGCGAGGCCCTGCCCTGACACCTTTTTCCCAGATCTCAGGTCAGTTTTCCCGGTTATAATCTTTGATTTTAGCACAGAGATCAGCACGCCGCAGCCGAGTGTCCTCGCTCCAATGCAGCGTCGGGCGCACACACACTCTGTTACGGAGCTTGGCATTACGATATTGGTCGCGGTCTTTTTAGCTGACATGGCTCTTTCATCCTGTGGCAAAATGGCATCAACCCAAAAGATTGAGCCAAAAGGAGTCTTCTTCTTCTAATAGTTAGATTACGGCAAAATGCGCCAAAATGACTTTGAGGCGGAGTCAATATTGTTATATTTTTTTTCTCATCAAATAACGTCTTTACCATGTTTCCACACACTGACAACACACACTCCTTCTTCTCCACACACTGACAACACACACTCCTTCTCCTCCACACACTGACAACACACACTCCTTCTCCTCCACACACTGATAACACACACTCCTTCTCCTCCACACACTGACAACACACACTCCTTCTCCTCCATACACCGACAACACACACTCCTTCTCCTCCACAATGACAACACACACACTCCTTCTCCTCCACACACTGACAACACACGCTCCTTCTCCTCCTCCACACACTCTGACCACAACAAGGCGTTACCCAAAATGCACTGCACTCACAGTGGCCCTCATGTATGAAGCTTGCGTACGGCCAAATCAGGGTGTAACTGAGGCGTACACAAAATATTTACACTTTTCCGCATTTATCAATCTGGACATTTATTCTGGATCAGAATCAGTTTATTTGCCATTTGCAGAAAAAAATGACATTGGAACACAGGAGACACCGGGGGCACCAACACAACAAAGCACACACACAGAATAAAAATAGCGAGACACAGTGAGGCAAATATAAAACTCTTAAAAGCATTATTAAGACGCTACGAAGGAGGAGCTCCAAGAGAAGCAGATCTCAGGACGCTCTGTTCAGTCTTATAACCGCCTGAGGGAAGAAGCTATTGGCATGGCGGGTGGTCCTGCACCGCACGGACCGGAATCTTCTCCCCGAGGGAAGAGGCTGGAACAAGGCCGCTCCAGGATGACCAGAGGAGTCCTTTACAATCCTCAGGGCTCGGTTCAAGAGTCTGCTCTCATAACGAGCCTCCAGAACGGGCTTCTCACGGTTCACAGTCCTCTGAGCAGAACCACTTTGTTCAGGGCTCTCTTTTCTTTGGCTCTTTTTTTTGGCTGGTGCGATCACTGTGGTGATCGCACCAGCATCAGGCTTTCTATGGTGCAGCGCTAGAAGTTCAGAAAAATCTTGGAGTTGTTTGTAAATTCTCTAAGTTTTCACAGAAAGTATAGACGTTGGCGAGCTTTCTTAACAATAAGGTTAGACCAAGAAACTTACTCTCCTCAACAACCTCCACCTGAGAGTTTTCAATGACCACAGGAGAGAGAGAGACCACGACTGCACAGGTGAGTGAGAGAGACCACGACTGCACAGGTGAGTGAGAGAGAGAAGGACCACGACTGCACAGGTGAGTGAGAGAGAGACCACGACTGAACAGGTGAGTGAGAGAGAGAGGGACCACGATGGAACAGGTGAGAGAGAGAGACCACGACTGCACAGGTGAGTGAGAGAGACCATGACTGCACAGATGAGTGGGAGAGACCACGACTGCACAGGTGAGTGGGAGAGACCACGACTGCACAGGTGAGTGGGAGAGACCACGACTGAACAGGTGAGTGGGAGAGAGAGTGACCACGACTGCACAGGTGAGTGGGAGAGAGACCACGACTGCACAGGTGAGTGGGACAGAGAGTGACCACGACTGCACAGGTGAGTGGGACAGAGAGTGACCACGACGGCACAGGTGTACACAGGATTTGAGTAAGCGAACACATATCTTGTCAGGACCGAGGTTTTTGTTTGGCTTAATTATAGAGAGGGCTTTTATGACATCCTCAGTAAAGGTAAAGGTGCACTTTTATTAATCCCCGTAGGGCAATTCAATCCTCTGCATTCTCTGACCCATCCTGATGCCACTAAGGCGTACGTCAGGAGCAGTGGTCGCTGTAGAACAGCGTCTGGGAACCCATCTCCAGATGTTGATGCTCTGGGTCAGGACCGGAGCTGGAGGATTTTAACCTAGTGAGCATGTTTTTAGTGGTAAGGGAAACTGGAGTACCCGGAGGAAACCTACTCAGGCAGAAAGACCCTGTTCCGACCGGGATTCGAACCCAGGACCTTCTTGCTGAGAGGCGAGAGTGCTAACCACTCAGCCACCGTGTCAACAAGATCATGTTTCAAATCAAGATTTTCCCAACTAAAGTCAAAAGAGTCAAAACGGCAGCAAAACTCATGAAAGTAATTGGCCAGTTCACTGTAAGATACAAAGCCCTCTAAAACATTTTTTTTTTTTGCTTGGCCATTTTGGAGCCAGCATTGATGTTCATGCTTGTCCAGGCTGAACCATGTTGTTGTTGCTGCCATCCTATTTTCCAGTTTTGATTTGTAAGCACATTTGGCTTTAAGCATTTCAGTTTTAAGTTTCTTCTTGGCTTCTTGAATACCAGGTTGTGATCCTTGCTGAAAAGCTAAAGCCCTTTTCTGTAAGCAGGGCTTTACAGTTCCCAAGGCCTATTATTGGGGTATATTTTGACCCTTTTGGATGGTATTATCATGTCCCTTCAAAAAGCCTCATAAGAGCAGGTCATATCAGCCAAGGTGTCCAGGTCATCGTCACATGACTGAGTAAAGACATCCCAGTCCGGGATAGGGTGAAAGTACAAGTGAAAGTACAGCATCCTGAGTCCAGACTTCTACATCCCTGGTCTCAGTTTTTACTCTCTTCAGAACGGTCTCATAAGCAGGCACTAACTGCACAAATCTATGATCTGAGGAGCTCAGTGGAGGGATTGGAAAAGCTTTGTAGGCCCCTCAATAGATCCATAGCACAAGTCCAGTGTTTTCTTCTGCCTGGTTGGCCAGGAGACATTCTGACAGAAGTTCTTAAGTTCTTTTTCAAGGCCACGTGATTAAAATCCCTGCGGATTGCCAGACGAAGACTGGGACAGATGACATGGAACTCAGTTTCAGTTCAAGGAGCATATCTCTTGTGTATTGAAGTCTTGCAAAAGAAGATACTGCAGCTCCATTGATTTTGTTTGCCAGGAGACGAAGGAGAAGGTTTGCCAGCACAATAAAGCTGGTCACTTGCCTCTGGTCGCGTTGATAAAAGCACCAGTCCGTCACATGCACCAGTCGACCACAATAACTAAAACTAAAGTTCATAAAGTTCTTAAAACACACTCAACCAAGACGCCAAGCTCTCATCCACCGCCAGTTGCAGCGTGCGCATGTCTTGGACATACAAGAAAAGAGACTCTTTGTGCTAGTTTCCACGAGATGAATCACATGTGACTTGGGTGGCATCTCTGACTGCCACCCCCCCCCAACCCAGAAATGGATTAAGGGGAAGAAAATGGATGGATGGATGGAGTCACATTTATTTCCATCTTTGATAAGAGGTTAAGGTCCTTTACTGCCACCAGGAAGAAATGTGTCCTCTGCATTTGACCCGTCCTTCTGTGGGTCGCCATAGTGTAGCAGCCACTAACCCATCTCCATTTGTGTTGTTTCTTATGTGTGTGTGCAGAACCTGGCGAAGGACCTCTCCACTTTTTTCGAGGAGGAGCTGAAGAAGTTCCTCAGGCTTCTGAGCACAGATTACCCAGAATGCTTAGAGCCTGTGGAGGATGAGGAGCAGAGGAGCAGCAGTGAGGCGCTCCTGAAGATCACACTGAACTTCCTGAGGAGGATGGATCAGAAGGAGCTGGCTGAGCGTCTGTGGAGCAGTAAGAACACGTTCATGATGGTCATGTGATCTTCTCTGACTCCTGTCTCTGTTGTCTTCATTCAGGGGTTTCTTCTGGACGTTCTCAGCGTAAACTGAAGGTTGATCTGCAGCAGAGGTTTGAGTGTGTGTTTGAGGGCATTGCTAAAGCAGGAGCCCCCACCCTCCTGAAGCAGATCTACACCGAGCTCTACATCACAGAGGGAGGCTCTTCAGAGGTCAACCAGGAACATGAGGTCCGACACATGGAAGCAGCCTCCAGGAGACCAGCAGAGAGAACCATCACATGTGAAGACATCTTTAAAGACCCGGCCCACTCAGACAAACCAATCAGAACGGTGCTGACAAAGGGAGTGGCTGGCATCGGGAAAACAGTGCTCACTCAGAAGTTCAGTCTGGACTGGGCTGAAGGCAAAGCCAACCAGGACCTCCAGCTGCTGTTCCCCTTCACTTTCAGAACTCTCAATGTTCTGAAGGACAGAAGCTTCAGCCTGATGTCACTTGTTCATCACTTCTTTAGTCAAACACAAGCAGATCTCTGCAGCTTTGAAGACCTCCAGGTGCTCTTCATCTTTGACGGTCTGGACGAGTGCAGACTTCCTCTGGACTTCAGCAGCTCTCGTGTCCTCTCAGACCCCACAGAGTCTGTCTCTCTGGACCTGCTGCTGGTGAACCTCATCAGGGGGAGCCTGCTTCCCTCCGCTCGCCTCTGGATCACCACACGCCCCGCGGCGGCCAATCAGATCCCTGCAGAGTGCGTCTCCATGGTGACAGAGGTCCGAGGGTTCAGCGACTCTCAGAAGGAGCAGTACTTCAGGAGGAGGTTCGGAGAACAGGCCGACACGGTCCTCTCCCACATCAAGACGTCCAGAAGCCTCCACATCATGTGCCACATGCCAGTCTTCTGCTGGATCACTGCCACAGTCCTGGAGCATGTGTTGAAGAGCAGAGAGAGAGGAGAGCTGCCCAAGAGCCTGACGCAGATGTACAGCCACTTCCTGGTGGTTCAGGCCAAAGTCAAGAACATCAAGTATAAAGAAGGATCAGAGACAGACCCACACTGGAGTCCAGACACCAGGAAGATGGTGGAGTCTCTGGGAAAACTGGCCTTTGAGCAGCTGCAGAGAGGAAACCTGATCTTCTACGACTGTGACCTGAGCGAGTGTGGGCTGGACGCTGCAGCCGCCTCAGTGTACTCCGGAGTCTTCACACAGGTCTTTAGAGAGGAGCCAGGTCTATACCAGGACATGGTCTACTGCTTCATCCATCTGAGTGTGCAGGAGTTTCTGGCTGCTCTTCACGTCCATCTGACCTTCATCAACACTGGAATGAATTTGTTGGTAGAGAGAAAGTCCACAATGTCCATAAAAAAGCATTACTTCAATGAAAAGGATCCACTTAACTTCTACCAGTCAGCTGTGGACCAGGCCTTACAGAGTCCAAACGGACACCTGGACCTGCTCCTCCGCTTCCTCCTGGGCCTGTCAGTGTCGACCAATCAGAGCCTTCTAAAGGGTCTGCTGACACAAACAGGAAGTAGCTCCCAGACCAATCAGAAGACAGCAGAGTACATTAAGAAGAAGCTGAGTAAGGATGTGTCTGCAGAGAGGAGCATCAGTCTGCTCCACTGTCTGAATGAACTGAATGATTCTTCTCTGGTGGAGCAGATCCAACAGACCCTGAGGTCAGGACGTCTGTCTGAAGGACTGTCTCCTGCTCAGTGGTCAGCTCTGGCCTTCATCTTACTGTCATCAGAAGAAGATCTGGACCAGTTTGAGCTGAGCAGATACTGTGCTTCAGAGGAGGCTCTCCTGAGGCTGCTGCCAGTGGTCAAGGCCTCCACCAAAGCTCTGTGAGTAACCTTTGTTTAACACAGGATTCATTCAACTTCTACATAACCATGTTTTCTGTCTCCAGACTGAGCCGCTGTGAGCTGTCAGACAGAAGCTGTGGAGCTCTGGCCTCAGTCCTCAGCTCCCAGTCCTCTAGTCTGAGAGTCCTGGACCTGAGTCACAACGACTTGAAGGACTCAGGGCTGAAGCTGTTGTCTGATGGACTGAAGAGTCCTCACTGTAAACTGGAGACGCTCAGGTCAGAGGGTTCATATGATTCACTGTTCTTACAGAACCTGTTGGTCATTGTTTTGGACAATACCAGTGGACAAAGACAGTTAAATATGCTGCTAAGACCATCCTTCACCTGAGTCCACCCTCGCTCCAACACACAGATTTATGTGAGAAAAAGAACAGTTTAAAGAACAGTTTAAAGAACAGTTTAAAGAACAGTTTAAAGAACAGTTTAAAGAACAGTTTGAAGAACAGTTTGAAGAACAGTTTAACACTGATAGTTTAAGGAGAGCACAAGTCCATAAACAAAGATAACTCTACAAACAAACACATCAAGGCTTTATCATCTGGAGGCAGAGAGCTGCTCCTCATTACAGCACAAACACTTATCTTTCTATTCACTAAAATGTGCTTTTCTGATCTATGATATTTTAATCATCAAACAAACATAAGGCTTTTCCTTAAGATCTTCTTCTCGAGTTCAAACATATGACAGAAAAGTGTGTCTCCTCCTTCACCAAAGTCCTTCATCAGCTCTTTTTCACCCACAGATTTACACAAGTCTGAGGACAGTGGTTTCTTTGTTGCACTTTTTTGTTAAAAAAAAAATAATCTAAAACAGCAGCTCTATAAATGAAGTCTCACCAGAAGCATCTAAATGTGTCTGTTTTGTTCTAAAGTCTGTAATGTTTTCTGTCTCCAGACTGAGCTGCTGTGAGCTGTCAGACAGAAGCTGTGGAGCTCTGGCCTCAGTCCTCAGCTCCCAGTCCTCTAGTCTGAGAGTCCTGGACCTGAGTCACAACGACTTGAAGGACTCAGGGCTGAAGCTGTTGTCTGATGGACTGAAGAGTCCTCACTGTAAACTGGAGACGCTCAGGTCAGAGGGTTCATATGATTCACTGTTCTTACAGAACCTGTTGGTCATTGTTTTGGACAATACCAGTGGACAAAGACAGTTAAAGATAAGACATCTCTTTAGCTGCTAAAACCATCCTTCACCTGAGTCCACCCTCGCTCCAACACACAGGTTTAAGTGAGAAAAAGAACAGTTTAAAGAACAGTTTAAAGAACAGTTTAAAGAACAGTTTAAAGAACAGTTTAAAGAACAGTTTAAAGAACAATTAAAGAACAGTTTAAAGAACAGTTTACAGAACAGTTTAAAGAACAGTTTAACCCTGATAGTTTAACTAAAGGAGAGCACAAGTCCAGAAACAAAGATAACTCTACAAACAAACACAACAAGGCTTTATCATCTGGAGGCAGAGAGCTGCTCCTCATTACAGAACAAACACTTATCTTTCTATTCACTAAAATGTGCTTCTCTGATCTGTGATATTTTATTCATCAAACAAACATTAGGCCTCGCCTTAAGATCTTCTTCTCGAGTTCAAACATCTGACAGAAAAGTGCTGTTGTGGAGATTCTGCAGTGACCGAGAGCAAAAATAATGTAAAGAACCAAGAGCTGTAAAACAATCAAAGTGTGAGTTTATTCATTAGTAAATGTGACACATACAATGAATAACAGAACCGATACCAACACCACCTGCAGCCGTCTGAAACCGTCTGTTATAGAAATCTTTTAGTAAACCAATCTGAATTAACACCAAATAGTTATAAGTGTAAGTTATTAACTAATTCTCAACTCTGGATTCAGATACAGCAGATATTACTGTTGGCAGCAGGTCAGTGATAGATGGAGACGTGCTGCATCATGTCTTTGACCTCATCTGCAGTGCCGGCGTGGCTAATCGGGAGAGTCGGGAGGTTTCCCGGTGGGCCGGTTGGGCTAAGGGCCGGTGGGCTGGATGTTGTATGATGCTGGTTGGACTTGGCCGGCGGCCGTACTTTCCTGACACCGCTGTTCACCGCAGCCTTCTCGGACCTGTCGCTCGGCCGTGCGCACTGCCTCTCTCTCTCTCTCACCCACACACACACACACACACACACACACACACACACACACACACACACACACACACGAGTAAACAGCACACACACTTCTGGCTAGTCTCATTTGGCCGCTTTCATTGGTTACGATGTGTTCTGCAACAGCCTGATAGGTTGTCTGTAGATTGTAGGCGGGACTAACCGAGAGCGCGGGCCATAGATCAGGTTGAATGACAGATAGAACTGAAGCAAGTTTTTAAAATGGAAAGGAACAAAATCAAAAAATCAAGGGCGGAGCAGAAAAGATTAGAATAAAAAACGGAAAGCTCTTGAAGCTGAAGCAGCCAAATGTGCAAAGTTGGTAGTTTTTTTCTAGAAAAAGTGATCCGTCGATGAAGAGGCATCAGACCGCGGTAAGCTAGCAAAAAAACATGCAAAACACTGTGGCAAAACATGACGATGTGATTCCCTAAATGATTAGCATTCCGTCAATTACATTTATTGCTTCTTAGGTCCTCAGATACAACAATCGTCCATTCATATTAATGAAGAGCCTCAGGAACGGGCAGGTAAAGACCAAAAAGAAGATTTTATTTTTAATCAAATTTGACTAAGCCTTTTAAGGCCGTGAATTTATTTATTTCATAATGTATAATGTATATTGCATAAATAACATTTTTAACTTCTTTGTACATTAGGAAAGTAACAGTTGAATATTTTGTGTGTGTGTCAAAAGATGTGAAGAAGATGACATGTCTGGGATCGCGTCTTTCATTCAGACAGAAGACATGTTTTATTGTCGATGGTAGAGACAGCACGAACAACACGAACAACAGAATGCAAGTGTATTATACAGAGCGGAGGCATGGAGACCTCCAATCAGCAGCTGCCACAGTGCCATGTAGCTTGGCCTTCAGATAGACACAACAAGGGAAAAGTACTGGCTTCTGCACATTGATAGAATGATGAGTTTAACTTTAACAAAAGTTGCTTCAAAGTGTTATGAAATCTCACAGATGTGAAGCATTTATTGTCATGTCTAGAGAAAAAGACATCCTTTGTCATTGGATAAGGATATTATCATTATCATTAAGCAGAAACAAGTCACTTCTACAGAGTTTACTCATGTTTTAATGTGCTTACTTTTGCTTTTGTTAATTTGGGTTTGTTTAATTTAAATACTGTGCAGTTTGTGTTTTCTCGTCTTGATACAGGTTCACATTTAGTTTGCTTTTAGTTCTCCCCTGGGACAACATTAAAGTATGTTCAGATTCATTTTGGTTTTGTATAAAGTTGTAGCAAGTACATTTTTGTCTTAGTGTAGTGTTTGCATTAGTCTTTGTTTTTGTTTAGTCTTGAAAGGAGGATAATAGTTTAATGGTTTCGAGTCAATTCAATGTATTATTAAAAAAATAATTGTTATTCCCAAAGATTTGGCTATTTTTTTTTTATTTATTTTTTTTTTATAAAAAAAAAAATATATATATATATATATATATAGCCAAATCTTTGGGAATAACAATTATTTGAATGAAAATTGACATTGTTCTAAAATTTGTGAAATTCATACTTTTTATATCCACATAAGTCTAGAGTTAGAGCTAGGGGGCGACAGTAGCTCAGTTGGTAGAGCATTGGCCTTAAGGCCAGAAGGTCGTGGGTTTAATTCCCACCTCTACACCTTCTCCACCGACTCCCACTGATGACTGCTATCGTTGTGTCCTTGGGCAAGACACTTAACCCCACTTTGCCCAAAAGCCCCCACTGAAAGATCAAGGCTATGCTCACACTCAGAGAGCAGCCGTCCTCCTGTGGACTCACCACCTGCAGAGGGTCAGTGAGGGGCTGGTGCTATGAGACTTGGGGGCATCTCTGATTGCCACCCCCCTGACCCAGAAATGGATTAAAGGGTAGAAAATGGATGGATGGATGGATAAGTCTAGAGTCAGTCTAAATTCATATTGTGATACCAGAATATTCAAATACCATGATTTATTCAAATGCATTATTGAGTTATTTTGTGACTAACACTGAGAAGTCTAAAAGTGGTGAACAAAGAATAACTTGATTAGTACTAGTCTGGTAATTTACAAAACTTGATTTTAGGCCACCTGCTGGTTGTTATGGATATTACAACAGCAGGTAGTAGCAAAGTTTTTTTTTGATAGACTACTTTATCAGAAGGGCCGGTCTGATCCAGAATTCCCGGGCCAAAAAATTGTCCCACTCCGGCCATGCTCATCTGGGTCATAGAACAATATGTCCAGGTCAAAGCAGATCATTACAAGTATCAGAGTTGTATCAGAGAAAGGAAGAGTAAAGAGAAGCCTTGAGCGACACAGATCAATACTGACTTCATTTTGTAATATCTAGAGTAGATATGTCTTTGTTTACTCTGGTCTTTTTAATGTCTGTCATTTCCTCATTCGTGGCAGACGGTTTCAGACGGCTGAAGGTGGTGTTGGTATTGGTTCTGTTATTCATTGTATGTGTCACATTTACTAATGAATAAACTCACACTTTGATTGTTTTACAGCTCTTGGTTCTTTACATTATTTTAGCTCTTGGTCACTGCAGAATTTCCACAACAGTGCGTCTCCTCCTTCACCAAAGTCCTTCATCTGCTCTTTTTCACCCACAGATTTACACAAGTCTGAAGACAGTGGTTTCTTTTGTTGTACTTTTTTGTTAAAAAATAATAATCTAAAACAACAGCTCTATAAATGAAGTCTCACCAGAAGCATCTAAATGTGTCTGTTTTGTTCTAAAGTCTGTAATGTTTTCTGTCTCCAGACTGAGCTGCTGTGAGCTGTCAGACAGAAGCTGTGGAGCTCTGGCCTCAGTCCTCAGCTCCCAGTCCTCTAGTCTGAGAGTCCTGGATCTGAGTCACAACGACTTGAAGGACTCAGGGCTGAAGCTGTTGTCTGATGGACTGAAGAGTCCTCACTGTAAACTGGAGACGCTCAGGTCAGAGGGTTCATATGATTCACTGGTCTTACAGAACCTGTTGGTCATTGTTTTGGACAATACCAGTGGACAAAGACAGTTAAAGATAAAGGACTTGTTCTGTGTCTCATTTGGGTTGAATGTTAGTCATGAACTGAGTGATTACAATAATGTGTGTGTTCAGTCTGTCAGGTTGTTTGGTGTCAGAGGAAGGCTGTGCTTCTCTGGCCTCAGCTCTGAGGTCCAACCCCTCCCATCTGAAAGAACTGGACCTGAGCTACAACCATCCAGGAGACACAGGAGTAAAGCTGCTGTCTGCTCTGCTGGAGGACCCCCACTGCACCCTGCACACTCTCAGGTATGGTCTGTAAGGACAGAAGAGACATGTGACATCACACATCAAAGAATACATGGTCTTAGTGTGACAGATATATATATATATATATATATATATATTCATTTTATTGAGGTTTTAAATATAATACAACAGAGCTTCAGTTAACAATTTAACAGAGTAGTTCAGTATTACAAGATGATTTTAGAATAAAACAAATACAATAAAAACATAAAAACAACAAAAACAACAACTGGGCCTAATGAGAACTTAAAGATTCTCTTCAAAATAGAGAATAATCATATCCAAACAGTGTAAAGACCTGCAAGTTTGTCTTTTTTCTTCTTTTAATAATGTGTCAGGTCAGCAGTAAAGTCCGAATCCTTCATGAACTCAATAAAGGGTCCCCAAATGTGTTCAAACATATGTTGTTTTGACTTCTGGATATACGTCATTCTTTCTAAAGGTCGGCCAAGTGACATCTGCATGAGTTATGCGATTGATCAGTGCCCGTGGACCTGTCGTAACTTGGGACAAGGGTACAATTGAAATCACCAGCAAGTACATAGTGACCCGGCAGTGTTGGAAGCAAAAGGAAGAGGTCATGGTAAAAAGTGGAGTCATCTGAATTTGGACCAGACACGTTTACTAAATGTATGTGTTCGTGCAGCATAGATCCTTGAATGATCAAATATCTGCCTCTCTTCTCCTTCATTATATTATTAACGTTCAATGGAACTGATTCATGAATCAAAGTCATGACGCCCCTCGCCCGTGAAGAAAATGCTGATGTATAAACATTACCTCGCCACCTCCTCCTAACCCTTTTTCCGTCTTCCTCTACTAAATGTGTCTCTTGCAGAAATAACATTTTTGAGTCCATGTCTTTTAATTTAGTCATAACCTGTTGAACCTTTTTGAATCGTTGAAGACCCCTGCAGTTCCAAGTAACTATGTTTATATCTTTTCCATGTACCATTTTGATGATCTAAATTCTACTGAACACAATAATAAGAACAACTAATCACAACCAGACAGATATCTTTTCTGAGCTTATTTAAATACACTTGCATTTTCCTAAGAAGCTTAACATGACCCAACATTTGAACACAAGAACTAAAACCAAAACCCCTCCCCTTCCCCAACCTCTGCAGGTCTCCCACCCTCCCCTTTACGTGTCCCGTTACTGCGTGCGGCAGATCCACACAAAATGGGGAGCAGTCTACCATTCTTCTCTATCTAAAAAACAAACAAAAACAAAACCGCTGCCGCTCGTGCAGACCTTAAGATATTGTTCATTCTTCGCCGCTAATCGGCCACGAGAGTCATTGAAACAGCCTGAATAGTCCGTGTTGCACCAAATGAAAGCAGTGACAAATATAAGGCACATTTTATAAGAGTTAGTGTTAATAGAAACAGAATTGAAACTATTTAGGAATACTCACTGCTGGGTCGGAAGGTAAATCAAAACAGACCAATGGGCTCTATGCACGCACCACTTCTGCGTTTTAGTTCCAACCCCACTTCACTTCCTGTGCGCGGTAACGGCTTGAGTTTCACTGGAGTTCAGTGGTTTACACAACTTTCCCAAATAATGCTCAAACAGGAATTAAACTGTAGGATACTGGGCATTTCTGGGACACAGCAGTGCTCTCTGATTGTGCTGTCATTGTGTTTTTATAAAGTTTACTAATCTCTCTGAGTGGCCACAGTCACAGCTCTACCTCAGAGAGAAAGCACGTCCACACTTTTGGGTCAGTCTCAGCTGAATGTATCAATCTAATTACTAAAAACGTCACTAAAACGTCACTAAAAGCCATAGATAGCATAGACAGGAAGTGAACGGGCTGATCTTTGTTAACAGGAAATGACGTCACGCCTCCCCGTGCATGTGGCCTATTTCACTGATCTCTTTCAGTCAGGATGTTATTTACAAAAACAGGTGCCTCCGCTGGAGATGCAAACACACACGTCTTCTCCTCGTATGTCACCGGCAGCTTCCCCTGGTGTGTTACGCCACGTCTCAATCCAAGTTTGCGTAGATCTTCCCGAACAGAGTCGTATCTTTTCCGGAGTTGTTGCAGACCCGCAGCCAGGTCTGGGTAAAACCGGATCCAATCTCCTTCGTAGCGAATGTCCGCTTTGGCCTTTGCAGCGTTCAGGACAGCCTCCCTGTCCCTGTAGTTGAGAAAACGCATTATCAGAGTGCGAGGTCTCTCTCTGCCGTGTTCTTTCCGTGGGCCAACTCGGTGCTTTCAATAAACATCGGGGTCTGAAGTGAAATACTCAGGATCTCAGGAATCCACCTTTCCAGAAACTTGCACGGGTCACTTCCCTCGGTACCTTCATCCAAGTTAACAAGCCTAACGTTGTTCCGTCTTCACCTCGATTCCAAGTCCATTACTTTGTCTTCCAAGATGTTCTGCTTCGACTCCAGTGCACTAGCTTTAGCCCGCAGGGTTTCAACCTCATCTTCGTCGTTAGATGTGTGGGTTTCTGCCTGTGTCACTCGCTCGGCGCAGTCCTGAACATCCTGTCGAAGATGATCCAAATCACTTTTTATGGCAGTAACTATGGATAGTATTTCATCCACTTTACTGCTCTGGGTTCTGTCTTCGCTCGCATCCCTCGTCGCCATTCCGGGTGGGGAGTTGCTACCGCTAGCATTAGCTTTCTGTGCCTCGCTGCGATGGCCATACTCCGTTAGTTTATGCTGTTTAATCTTCTCGGTGGCATCTTGGCTTACTTTGCTTCCCTTTGCTGGAGACGTTGTTCCATCCAATAAAGGAAACAATAAAGAATCAAATATTGGTTAATAATTTGAGCACGGGCAGCGGAGCGGTCTAAAGCATGTCTTCCCTACATGGCCGCCATAACCGGACTCAGTGTGACAGATGTTTTAATGAGATTTAATGTGTTTCAGACTGGAGCATTCTGGAGGTCAGAGGTTAACTCCAGGACCCAGAAAGTGTAAGTGTTGAAGTGACTTCATTAAAAGCTTCTCCTGGATCTGTCACTGCTTATGGAGCTGAGTTTGGGGAAAATGGAAATGGACAAAGTTGAAATGAAGGTTCATTTTGGGTAAAAACTGTCACAGAAACATATTTGTTTAGAATCCAGCGTGTTCCACATGTTTCAGAAGAACTGGACAGAACGTGTGTCGCTCTGAACCAGTTTAAATAAATAATGAAGTAAAAACAAAGTCAGCGGTGACAAGGACTAAAGCTGAACTCACAAGGTCATGGCATGTCCAACCTGCGGCCTGCGGGCCAAATATGGCCCTCTGCGTCCTGTGGCCCTCTGCGCTAACACAAAGGAGCTAATGTGGCACAGTGTCATCCAGCCAACTGCAGCTCCACCATCAGAGCTGTGCTGTACCATAGTACCTGTACATGTTAGCATCATGTGATACTAGCTTACATGTTAGCATCATGTGATACTAGCTTACATGCTAACATGCTAATTCTGAAAATAACAAAACCATCAAGAGTAACAACAAATAGTGCAACTCTTATTGATAAAAGTTTCACAAATGACATGAGCAGCGGTACAATTAGTGGACTGCTGATAAATGATATTAGTGATCATTTACCCATATTTACTGTAACTAATCTAACTATTAAGGTCATAAACAATATTATAGACGCATGCAAGCTGTTGAGAACATGAATACTTTTAAGGATGATTTAATGGAGCAGGATTAGAATACAATATATGGAACAATGGAGACAGAAGAGGCATATGAGAATGTTATACAGATATTCACCCATCTGTGCAATAAAGACTGTCCCTTACTTCACTAGGAGGAGCCAAAATCACAACACAAATGCTTGGATGACAACAGGCCTTATTAAGGCATGCAGAAAGAACAATACATTGTATACAAACTTTATAAGAAAAAAAAATAGAGATAAGATACAAGAAATATAAAAACAAGCATAATGAGAAAGAGTAAGAAAGAATATTAGAGGAAGCTAATAGAAAATAACAAAGGTAATATGAAGGGGATATGGAATACACTAAATGAAATTATTAAAGGCAAATGCAATCATAATAACTACCCAAATCATTTCATGGAAAATGATCAGGAAATTCACAGCATGGAAGATGCAGCTCGTAAGTTTAATACATTCTTTGCTAATGTTGGTCCTGACTTAGCAGCCAAAATCCCCAAACAAAACATGGGAGAAACCTCTTGGGCACAGCCAATAGAAACTAATCCTCATTCCATGTTTCAACAGCCAGTGGATGAAATGGAAATGTTGGGAGTAGTCAGTCCATTTAAAAGTAAGAAATCAAGTGATTACAATGATGTGAGCATGGCCTTGATAAAAGAAGTCATTCATTATATCTCAAAAGCATTAGTACACATCTTCAATGTATCATTCATTACAGGCACAGTCCCAAACAGTATGAAGATAGCAAAAGTGATAGCACTATTCAAAACTGGAAATAAGCATCATTTTACCAACTATAGACCTGTATCCTTATTACTGCAATTCTCTAAAGTATTAGAAACACTTTACACTGATAGATTAGATACATTTGTGGACAAGCATAACATACTACATGACAGTCAATATGGTTTCAGGGCAAAACGGTCCACATCTGCATGAATGGAGTCTGTTGAAGAAATCACACATTTCTTAGATGAAGGGAAAATCACAGCTGGGCTTTTTTTAGACTTGAAAAAAGCATTTGATACAATAAATCACAATATATGAATAGAGAAGTTAGAGAAATATGGGATATTGCATTAGAATGGATAAAAACAGTTTGTGAAGCTTGATGATGTCAGCTCTCCATATGTGGATGTTGTATGTGGTGTCCCCCAGGGGGCAGTAGTGGGTCCAAAGCTATTTATTTTATATATTCATGATTAGTGTAATGTGTCGCACATTTTCAAAACTGTGCTCTTTGCTGATGACACAAATTTGTTTTGTGCAAGTCACAACTGAAGCGAACTCACAACTCAGATAGAAACAGAAATGAACAAGTTAAAACAATGCCATCCATCCATTTTCTTCCCTTTAATCCATTTCTGGGTCAGGGGGGTGGCAGTCAGAGATGCACCCAAGTCTCATAGCACCAGCCCCTCACTGACCCTCTGCAGGTGGTGAGTCCACAGGAGGGATACAAAAATGGTTTGCTCCAAAATAAATTATCATTACATATGAACAAAACTAAAATGATGTTTTTTGGAAATGTTAAAGATAAGGAAGAAGTAACGCTTGAAATAGAAGGTGTTGAAACTGAAAGAGTAACAGACAATACATTTCTGGGAGTCATAATTGAGGATAAATTAAATTGGAAGAGTCACATAGCATACATACAAAAGAAAATATCAAAAAGCATTGCAATCTTATACAAAGCAAAAGTTATATTGGACACACAATCAGTGCACACATTAAACCATTCACTAATTTCACCATATTTTAGTTACTGTGCTGAGATCTGGGGCAACATTTACAAAACCACGCTAAATCCACTCGTCAAACTGCAAAAAAAGGCAATAAGAATCATCAATAAAGCCGGACACAGAGATCACACAAACCCATTATTCATTCAGTCACAAATAATAAAGATTCACGACCTGATTGATTTGCAAACACGTCTTATTTTATTCAGAGCGAGACGTAAACAGCTGCACACATTCAGAATATGTTTATTCAAAGGGATACGTGTTATAATTGAAGAGGATTGTTTTTGTTCCAATTTAAAAAGCTTTTGTGTTACTGTCAGTGGACTAAAACATTGAATCCATTGGACGAGGAAATTAAAAAATGTCAAACAATATTGGAGTTTAAAAACAAGTACAAAGCCATTATTTTTGATAAATATGTTCGTGAGGCATGTTAAAAACTTCCAAGCGCTTGGTTACAAATGGTAACTGAAGATATTATTTATTCTGTAAAGTCAGAGTTGTAAGTAGGAATTACACAGGTTTCTTTAACTTCTTCCCACTCCTATTTTGGACATTGTTTATTTGATTTGTTTAAACAATGTGTAATTGCTTTTGCTTGGTTTTTCTCATTTTAAAGGTCCAAAATAAAAATATTCATTCATTCATTCAGAGGTTGAACTAATACTTTTTGAGAACTTTAAGTCTGATGTGAGAAATGCACCAAAGCGACTTAGAAAAACTGTAAATGTTAGCATCATGTGATACTAGCTTACATGTTAGCATCATGTGATACTAGCTTACATGTTAGCATCATGTGATACTAGCTTACATGTTAGCATCATGTGATACTAGCTTACATGTTAGCATCATGTGATACTAGTTTACATGTTAGCATCATGTGATACTAGTTTACATGTTAGCATCATGTGATACTAGTTTACATGTTAGCATCATGTGATACTAGCTTACATGTTAGCATCATGTGATACTAGTTTACATGTTAGCATCATGTGATACTAGTTTACATGTTAGCATCATGTGAAACTAGTTTACATGTTAGCATCATGTGATACTAGCTTACATGTTAGCATCATGTGATACTAGTGTACATTTTAGCATCATGTGATACTAGTTTACATGTTAGCATCATGTGATACTAGTTTACATGTTAGCATCATGTTATACTAGCTTACATGTTAGCATTATGTGATACTAGATTTACATGTTAGCATCATGTGATACTAGCTTACATGTTAGCATCATGTGATACTAGCATACATGTTAGCATCATGTTATACTAGCTTACATGTTAGCATTATGTGATACTAGATTTACATGTTAGCATCATGTGATACTAGCTTACATGTTAGCATCATGTGATACTAGTTTGCATGTTAGCATCATGTTATACTAGCTTACATGTTAGCATCATGTATTACTAGCTTACATGTTAGCATCATGTGATACTAGTTTACATGTTAGCATCATGTGATACTAGCTTACATGTTAGCATCATTTAAATTAGTTTACATGTTAGCATCATGTGATACTAGTTAACATGTTAGCATCATGTGATACTATTTTACATGTTAGCATCATGTGATACTAGTTTACATGTTAGCATCATGCATTACTAGTTTACATGTTAGCATCATGTGAAATTAGCTTACATGTTAGCATCATGTGATACTAGTTTACATGTTAGCATCATGTGATACTAGCTTACATGTTAGCATCATGTGATACTAGTTAACATGTTAGCATCATGTGATACTAGTTTACATGTTAGCATCATGTGATACTAGTTAACATGTTAGCATCATGTGATACTAGTTTACATGTTAGCATCATGTGATACTATTTTACATGTTAGCATCATGTGATACTAGCTTACATGTTAGCATCATGTGATACTAGCTTACATGTTAGCATCATGTGAAACTAGTTTACATGTTAGCATCATGCATTACTAGTTTACATGTTAGCATCATGGTCTCTATGTCAGATGTATGTGTTTGTCCACATGGTCTTTGTGTCAGATGTATGTGTTTGTCCACATGGTCTCTGTGTTAGATCTATGTGTTTGTCCACATGGTCTCTATGTCAGATGTATGTGTTTGTCCACATGGTCTTTGTGTCAGATGTATGTGTTTGTCCACATGGTCTCTGTGTCAGATCTATGTGTTTGTCCACATGGTCTCTATATCAGATGTATGTGTTTGTCCACATGGTCTCTGTGTCAGATGTATGTGTTTGTCCCATGGTGTTTGTGTCCACATGGTCTCTGTGTGTCCCGTGGTGGCTGTGTGTCCACATGGTCTCTGTGTTTCCACATGGTCTCTGTGTGTCCCATGGTCTCTGTGTGTCCACATGGTGTCTGTGTGACCCATGGTCTTTGTGTGTCCACATGGTGTCTGTGTGTCCACATGGTCTCTGTGTGTCCACATGGTCTCTGTGTGTCCACATGGTGTCTGTGTGTCCACATGGTCTCTGTGTGTCCACATGGTCTCTCTAACTGCTGCTGTGTTGTGTTCTCAGATCTCTGTGATCTCACTCTGGATCCAAACTCCGCTCACACAAACCTCAAACTGTCTGACAACAACAAGAAGGTGACACGTGTGAGGGAGCAGCAGCTCTATCCAGAGCACCAGGACAGATTTAACTCATGGTGTCAGATCATGTGTTCATCTGGTCTGACTGGTCGCTGGTACTGGGAGGTCCAGTGGAGCGGAAGGGTTTATATATCAGTGAGTTACAGAAACATCCAGAGGAAAGGACACAGTATTGACTGTGGGTTTGGATTCAACCCTCAGTCCTGGAGTCTGTACTGCTCTGGAGATGGTTTCTCTGTTCTTCATAATAACAAACAAACCGACCTCCCTCAGTCCTGGTCCTCCTCCTCTGGGACAGTGGGAGTCTTTGTGGACTGTCCTGCTGGGTCTCTGTCCTTCTACACAGTCTCCTCTGAGAGACTGATCCACCTCCACACCTTCAGCTCCACCTTCTCTCAGTCTCTGGTCCCTGGGTTTAGGCTCCGGACTGAAGGCTCCTCAGTGTCTCTGTGTCCTGGGTCTGAGTGAGACTCTGTGGGATCGGTCTCCTTCTGTTCATGTGTTTAACTCTGTGGGATCGGTCTCCTTCTGTTCATGTGTTTAACTCTGTGGTGGATCGGTCTCCTTCTGTTCATGTGTTTAACTCTGTGGGATCGGTCTCCTTCTGTTCATGTGTTTAACTCTGTGGGATCGGTCTCCTTCTGTTCATGTGTTTAACTCTGTGGGATCGGTCTCCTTCTGTTCATGTGTTTAACTCTGTGGGATCGGTCTCCTTCTGTTCATGTGTTTAACTCTGTGGGATCGGTCTCCTTCTGTTCATGTGTTTAACTCTGTGGGATCGGTCTCCTTCTGTTCATGTGTTTAACTCTGTGGGATCGGTCTCCTTCTGTTCATGTGTTTAACTCTGTGGGATCGGTCTCCTTCTGTTCATGTGTTTAACTCTGTGGGATCGGTCTCCTTCTGTTCATGTGTTTAACTCTGTGGGATCGGTCTCCTTCTGTTCATGTGTTTAACTCTGTGGGATGGGTCTCCTTCTGTTCATGTGTTTAACTCTGTGTGATCGGTCTCCTTCTGTTCATGTGTTTAGGGAGTGGGATGAGCACTTTTCTCATTATGATCTAAATGTCATGTAAAGTGTGTGTTGCCTGCTCCAGAGTCTGTGTCTCGCTCCTTCCTTGTGTTCACCGAGTGCACTTGTAAATAATAATAATCATAATAACTTTACTTTGAACTCTTTCTATTTTAGGAAATGCTAAACTTTAGAAATGTTTAGAAATGTTTTATTCTGCCTTATTCTTCTCTTCTCTACTTTTGAGTCGTTTGCAGCGAGAGCCAAAGCAGTTTCCTCGTCTGTGACTTCCTGTTACTTACATGGCAATAAAAATGATTCTGATTCTGCCTGTTTTTGGATGTTTTTAGTGCTTTTTGAACATTAAACTTGTTAAACTTCTTTCTGACTGTGGTCTGTGTTTGAGCCTCTCTTTGTTCATGTCTCAGTTTGTGTCAATACAGTTATGAAATCATTTATGAAGCAGAGAAATATATGGACCTGGTACTGGTTACACAGGACCAGAGGAAACAGTAGAGTAGAGTAGAGTAGGTAGAGTAGAGTAGAGTAGAGTAGAGTAGGGTAGAGTATAGTAGAGTAGAGTAGAGTAGAGTAGAGTAGGGTAGGGTAGGGTAGGGTAGAGTAGGGTAGAGTAGAGTAGAGTAGAGTAGAGTAGGGTAGGGTAGAGTAGAGTAGAGTAGGGTAGAGTAGAGTAGAGTAGAGTAGAGTAGAGTAGAGTAGAGTAGAGTAGGGTAGGGTAGAGTAGAGTAGAGTAGGGTAGAGTAGAGTAGAGTAGAGTAGAGTTGATGGAAACAGGGCATATTTTAAGTTGATGTGTCAGTGACCAGAAAGTAAGTACCATGTGTCTGTGTTAGTGACCAGAAAGTAAGTACCATGTGTGACGTGTGGAGCTGCCTCTCAGACCTGTATTTCCAGCCTGTTTCATGTTTCCTGCTGGGAGCCTATAAGAAACACCTGGACCCCACCAGTGGCCCAAAGGTCGTGGGATCGAGCCCACCACGGGACCTTCTCCACCGAATCCCACTGCTTCACCCCCTTTTGGTTTTCTTTGTGTTCAATCCCTAAACTTTGTGTTGTTAATAAATATCTTTTCTTTTAGTTTCCTCTTGGGTCTTTTAGTTGGAAACCTGTAGAGCTAGAGTGGGGGGTGACATGTTTGGGGCTCGTCTCTTGGGTGTAAACATACTGGGATCGTCTTCTTTGGGGGTGTAAACATCTTGGGGCTCGTCTCTTGGGGTGTAACATATTGGGGCCTGTCTCTTGGGGTGGGGTAACATATTGGGGGCTCGTCTCTTGGGTGTAACATATTGGAGGGTTTTTGTCTCTTGGGAGTAACATATTTTGGGGGGGCTCGATTGTGATCTGTCTCTTGGGTGAACATATTGGGGCTCGTCTTCTTGGGGTGTAACATATTGGGGGTTCGTTCTCTTGGGTGTAACATAATGGGGTTCGTCTCTTGGGTGTAACATATTGGGGCTCGTCTCTTGGGTGTGTAACCTATTGGGGTTCGTCTCTTTGGGTGTACATATTGGGCTCGTCTCTTGGGTAAATATTGGGGCTCGTCTTTGGGTGTAACATATTGGGGCTCGTCTCTTGGGGGTGTAAACCCCGATTGGGGGCGACCCAGGATAAAGTACCATTCAGGGGGCGACCCATCCCCAGGTGGTTCGATTCCCGGAAGAGAGCGGATCCTGCACGAAGGCCAGAAAGAACCCCGTGCAGCTGTTTGGGAAGTCCATTTGCTTGGGTCCGGATTACAGTTGGATGCCACCTCCAAGAGACGACGACCCAGCTGCCCTCTGAGTACCAAGCTCGGGAGCGCTGGCTTTTATGTGCATTTTCTGTTGTACCCTGCAAAAAACGAAAGTTGAAAAAAAAGGAGGTGAACCAAACAATTCTTTGACAACTCCTCTGCTGCGCTGGACTTCATCTCCAAGAACTGAATCCCACCGGATCTGGCCCTTTATGGGTTAAGGGATCATGGATCTTCCATGTTAAGACCTCCATCAACAAGTTGGCCAGTTTCTGTTTTGTTGACTTCTGTACGCGATGACACTACTGGCTGGTGTACGACACGCCTACCTCACTTTCTTCTTCGGTTCATTCAAAATGTAATAAAAATAAATAAATAAATAAGATGTCAAATATGAAAAACTGTGTTTGCCACATGGGGACCAAATGGACTGATTATTTGTTTTTTACCCCCAAATGACTCATAGTTGGGGGGTTGGGGTTGTTGTGTTTTTGTCCTAGTTTGCTCTTGCCATGTCTATTTTGACATGTCCTTGTTGTATCTGTATGAGTGTGATTGTGTGGGAGTGGGTGAAATTTGTTTGTGTGTTCTGGGGCTTGGAAGAATCATGTTGTAGTGTGCTTGCTGTCTGTTGTGTGTTGTTGTGTGTTTGAGTCTGTTGTGTGTCTTGTGCCCTTCGCTCTGTGACTGCTCCCCCGCTTCTTTGATTTATGTTTCCTGAACAAAGAAATTATGTCCAGCTTGGATAGTATCGGACTCCTCTGACGTTGAGGCGGCTGACACAATATTTATCTCAGTTTGCGGGGACCTAAATGATCAAAATCACCAACAATATTCATTATAAATCACCACACAGTTCCATGAATATGAAATGGATCCGGAACAGCAGTATTCTCAAAACACAATGGATTGGTATGTATTTATTGAAGGGACACATTTCACAAAGAATTCACACTGGATAACGTCATTTCTTTAGGTTCAACTTTAACAGTAGAAGTTTATTTGACAATTTTGATTCCATTCCAGGACTGCTTAAAACAATGTAACTCCTTTGAACATAGTGGCTTTTCGGAGGACATGGTTTTAAAGTAAGGATATGGAAATGAGTTTCTAATGGATGGGTCATGTTTTTTTACTCACAGACACAAAAACCTGGTGGAGGGGTGGCCGCTGTTTATGGATTAATAATAATAAATGTTCCATTTTCATAGACAATTATGTCTTTCGCTGTTAATGATATTTTGAATCTCTTCACAGTTGAACTTATAATTCCAAGGACAAGAGACTGTTATAAGCTGCATTTACGTGCACTGGAGGCCTGATCTGACAAATATTCAATGAAAGGATGGAGGAAAATATTGACCAACACAAACAAAAAATATTAATCGTATTGTGGGGACTTCAATAATTGACCCTTTTAAAACCCGAACAAACACAAACTTACAGAGGAATTTCTTGATTCCATGTTTTCAATGGGGACTCTATCAATAATTCCCACAAAGACCCCAACAAGAATCAGACATCAACCACAGTGCCACCTGATAGAACAACATCTTCTGGAAACATTCTGGACAAAAATACAAGCGGCCGACTGGTAATGAATGACTTTACTGAGCATTTATCTTCAAGACCTCTGACTTAATGCAAAACACCCAGAGCCCCCCTCAAAAACCAAACATACAGTAGAATGATCCAGTACATACAGAAACAGCTCTACAACCATGCTTTAGAGAACCAGGACTGAACCCCTTTATCTATCCTCAGATGTAATGCAGCTTAAGAACTCATTCTCCCCACACATTACCATCTCTCTATACCAAACATGCTCCATTCAAACCCTGCACAGAAAAGAGTCTACACAGTGGGGGTTGCAAAACTGGACAAAAGGGCTTGTAAATGCAAAAAGAAACCTCTTCTAAAAAGTCTATTTTTAATGAAGAAAAGAGAAACTGAAGTAAGACACAAGAGATATACAAATAAATTAAGCAGCATCTTTTTAAGGGCTAAGCGCGAAGATTACTACACCAAATGTACTATCATAAGTGAAAAAGATATTAAAGCGATTGGAATAAATATGATTCCGATGGAATTTAACAGTTTCTTAGTGAATGTAGGAGCTGAAACTTACACAAAAGAATCCAAACAGTGAACCAGTGAGGAGGGACTGATGGAGGTAAATCCTAGAATCAATGTTCCTCACTCCACCAATGAGGAGGAAGTCCTCGGGTGCATTATCACTTTCATATAAAAAAAACAAACGTTACATGATCTAGACAAACATTGATATGAAAACTTGGTACGAATACAGCAAAGGAGATCTTTATTAAACCACTCACCACACATCTGAATTCTATCTTTTTTTTACACTCGGCACTTTCCTCCCAAATGAAACATGCTAAAGTCATCCCCCAATATTCTAATCTGGAACAACTCACCGCTTCAATAAATATCGGCCCGTTCTCCTTCTGCCACAGTTTTCAAAGATATATAGAAACATTATTTGCCAATAAGACTTCACACTTTTTATGGAATTTTTCCTTTAGTTTACGATGTGATGCCAATATGGCTTTAGCAAAAATAGATCCACGTCACTGGCTTATAGTTGACTTGTTGAAAGTAATAAACAACGTATTAGAAAACAAATGAATTGTGACAGGAATATTTATGGATCTACAAAACAGCCCTTTGACACAATTTGGGACGTCATATATTATTGATCAAAATGGAAGATTCTGGCAAAAGGGAACAGCATGCAGTGGGTTACAGAGTTGACCTGACTGGGAGGGTAAAAATCGTTCCACTTTGATCATTCAAGCTCAATCTTAAAGGATAGAAACTTGTGGGTGCCACAATGATCAAATCTTGGACCGCCTTATTCCTTCAGAACATCAATGGGATGATACAAAATATCAGCGTTCATGAAACGCATCCTCTTTGCCGACGACCGCCCACCCATCACATGTGCAGGCCATGAGTTTGGGCTACTTTTGTCCCTTCGTATCAGTGCAGATGAACAAAGCTATGCTTTTTGGAAACCGTTTACAGCATTAATTACCATTTAGAATAGTTATTAATCAAAACCAATCTTAGAAATGTTTAAAAAAAAGAGTATTTTTTGGAGTCATGATAGAGCGAGAAATCTGATTGGAAACTCACATAAAGTTTACAGAGAGAGACCAGAGAGAGAGACCAGAGAGAGAGACCAGAGAGAGACCAGAGAGAGACCAGATAGAGACCAGAGAGAGAGAGACCTGAGAGAGACCAGAGAGAGACCAGAGAGAGAGACCATAGAGAGACCAGAGACCGACCAGAGAGAGACCAGAGAGAGACCAGAGAGAGACCAGAGAAAGACCAGAGATAGACCAGAGAGAGAGACCAGAGAGAGACCAGAGAGAGACCAGAGAGAGAGACCAGAGAGAGAGACCAGAGAGAGACCAGAGAGAGACCAGAGAGAGACCAGAGACCGACCAGAGAGAGACCAGAGAGAGACCAGAGAGAGATACCATGAACCAGAGAGAGACCAGAGAGAGAGACCAGAGAGAGACCAGAGACCGACCAGAGAGAGACCAGAGAGAGACCAGAGAGAGACCAGAGATAGACCAGAGAGAGACCAGAGAGAGAGACCAGAGAGAGACCAGAGAGAGACCAGAGAGAGAGACCAGAGAGAGAGACCAGAGAGAGAGACCAGAGAGAGACCAGAGAGAGACCAGAGAGAGAGACCAGAGAGGGACCAGAGAGAGACCAGAGAGAGACCAGAGAGAGAGACCAGAGAGAGACCAGAGAGAGAGACCAGAGAGAGACCAGAGAGGGACCAGAGAGAGACCAGAGAGAGACCAGAGAGAGACCAGAGAGGGACCAGAGAGAGATCAGAGAGAGACCAGAGAGAGACCAGAGAGACACCAGAGCGAGAAACCAGAGAGAGAGACCAGAGAGAGACCAGAGAGAGGCCAGAGAGAGACCAGAGAGAGACCAGAGAGAGAGACCAGAGAGAAAGCAGAGAGATACCAGAGAGAGAGACCAGAGAGGGACCAGAGAGAGACCAGAGAGAGACCAGAGAGAGACCAGAGAGAGAGACCAGAGAGAGACCAGAGAGAGAGACCAGAGAGAGACCAGAGAGGGACCAGAGAGAGACCAGAGAGAGACCAGAGAGAGACCAGAGAGAGACCAGAGAGGGACCAGAGAGAGATCAGAGAGAGAGACCAGAGAGAGACAGAGAGAGACCAGAGAGAGACCAGAGAGAGATCAGAGAGAGATCAGAGAGAGATACCAGAGAGAGACCAGAGAGAGACCAGAGAGAGACCAGAGAGAGACCAGAGAGATACCAGAGAGAGACCAGAGAGACACCAGAGCGAGAAACCAGAGAGAGAGACCAGAGAGAGACCAGAGAGAGGCCAGAGAGAGACCAGAGAGAGACCAGAGAGAGAGACCAGAGAGAGACCAGAGAGAGACCAGAGAGAGAGAGACCTGAGAGAAACCAGAGAGAGAGACCAGAGAGAGATACCATGAACCAGAGAGAGACCAGAGAGAGAGACCAGAGAGAGACCAGAGACCGACCAGAGAGAGACCAGAGAGAGACCAGAGAGAGACCAGAGAGAGACCAGAGAGAGACCAGAGAGAGACCAGAGAGAGACCAGAGAGAGACCAGAGAGAGACCAGAGAGAGAGACCAGAGAGAGACCAGAGAGAGACCAGAGAGAGATACCAGAGAGGGACCAGAGAGAGACCAGAGAGAGACCAGAGAGAGACCAGAGAGAGAGACCAGAGAGAGACCAGGAGAGAGACCAGAGAGAGACCAGAGAAGGACCAGAGAGAGACCAGAGAGAGACCAGAGAGAGACCAGAGAGAGACCAGAGAGGGACCAGAGAGAGATCAGAGAGAGACCAGTGAGAGACCAGAGAGAGACCAGAGAGACACCAGAGCGAGAAACCAGAGAGAGAGACAAGAGAGAGACCAGAGAGAGGCCAGATAGAGACCAGAGAGAGACCAGAGAGAGAGACCAGAGAGAGACCAGAGAGAGACCAGATAGAGACCAGAGAGAGAGAGACCAGAGAGAGACCAGAGAGAGAGACCAGAGAGAGATACCATGAACCAGAGAGAGACCAGAGAGAGAGACCAGAGAGAGAGACCAGAGAGAGACCAGAGAGAGATACCAGAGAGGGACCAGAGAGAGACCAGAGAGAGACCAGAGAGAGACCAGAGAGAGAGACCAGAGAGAGACCAGAGAGAGAGACCAGAGAGAGACCAGAGAAGGACCAGAGAGAGACCAGAGAGAGACCAGAGAGAGACCAGAGAGAGACCAGAGAGGGACCAGAGAGAGATCAGAGAGAGACCAGTGAGAGACCAGAGAGAGACCAGAGAGACCCAGAGCGAGAAACCAGAGAGAGAGACCAGAGAGAGACCAGAGAGAGGCCAGATAGAGACCAGAGAGAGACCAGAGAGAGAGACCAGAGAGAGACCAGAGAGAGACCAGATAGAGACCAGAGAGAGAGAGACCTGAGAGAGACCAGAGAGAGAGACCAGAGAGAGATACCATGAACCAGAGAGAGACCAGAGAGAGAGACCAGAGAGAGACCAGAGACCGACCAGAGAGAGACCAGAGAGAGACCAGAGAGAGACCAGAGAGAGAGACCAGAGAGAGAGACCAGAGAGAGATACCATGAACCAGAGAGAGACCAGAGAGAGAGACCAGAGAGAGAGACCAGAGAGAGACCAGAGGGAGACCAGAGAGAGACCAGAGGGAGACCAGAGAGAGACCAGATAGAGACCAGAGAGAGAGAGACCAGAGAGAGACCAGAGAGAGAGACCAGAGAGAGACCAGAGGGAGATACCAGAGAGAGACCAGAGAGAGACCAGAGAGAGACCAGAAATTAATTCCTGGTTCTCTTCCATCTTTCTCAAACTCAACAGCTCTAAAACTGAAGTCCTTCTCGTGGGCACCCCCTCCACTCTCTCCAAATCTAACAGCTTCTTTCTCTCCATCCATAACACATCTGTCCTCCCCTCCCCTCTCCATCCATAACACATCTGTCCTCCCCTCCCCTCTCCATCCATAACACATCTGTCCTCCCCTCCCCTCTCCATCTGTCCTCCCCTCCCCTCCCCTCCCCTCCCCCTCCCCATCCATAACACATCTGTCCTCCCCTCCCCTCTCCATCCATAACACATCTGTCCTCCCCTCCCCTCAGGTCAAGAGTCTGGGTGTCATCCTCGACAGTTCACTCTCCTTCCAATCTCACATCAATAATATCATTCGGTCCGCCTACTTCCACCTGCGCAATATCTCTCGTCTCCGCCCCTCTCTCACCCCCCACACCACCCTCGTCTCCGCCCCTCTCTCACCCCCCACACCACCCTCGTCTCCCCCCCCTCTCTCACCCCCCACACCACCCTCGTCTCCGCCCCTCTCTCACCCCCCACACCACCCTCGTCTCCGCCCCTCTTTCACCCCCCACCACCACCCCCCCTTTCACCCCACACATCCTCGTCTCCGCCCCTCTCTCACCCCCCACACCACCCTCGTCTCCGCCCCTCTCTCACCCCCCACACCACCCTCGTCTCCGCCCCTCTCTCACCCCCACACCACCCTCGTCTCCGCCCCTCTCTCACCCCCCACACCACCCTCGTCTCCGCCCCTCTCTCACCCCCCACACCACCCTCGTCTCCGCCCCTCTCTCACCCCCCACACCACCTCCATCCTCGTCCACAGCCTCGTCACCTCTAGGATTGACGACTGCAACTCACTTCTCTTCGGCCTCCCCAACAAATCCCTCCAGAAACTGCAGCTCCTCAAAACTCTGCAGCTGCATCATCCCCCGGACCCCCACAGCTGACCACATCACCCCCGTACTCCGACAACTCCACTGGCTTCCTGTTAAACAACTGATTCACTTCAAAAGACTCCTCACCACTTTCAGAGCACTTCACAACCTGCTCCTCCTCCACTTATCTGACCTCCTCCACCCTGCCACTCCTGCTCCTCCTCCACCCTGCCATTCCTGCTCCTCCTCCACCCTGCCAATCCTGCTCTTCCTCCACCCTGCCACTCCTGCTCCTCCTCCACCCTGCCACTCCTGCTCCTCCTCCACCCTGCCACTCCTGCTCCTCCTCCACTTATCTGACCTCCTCCACCCTGCCACTCCTGCTCCTCCTCCACCCTGCCACTCCTGCTCCACCTCCACCCTGCCACTCCTGCTCCACCTCCACCCTGCCACTCCTGCTCCTCCTCCACCCTGTCACTCCTGCTCCTCCTCCACCCTGCCACTCCTGATCCTCCTCCACCCTGCCACTCCTGCTCCACCTCCACCCTGTCACTCCTGATCCTCCTCCACCCTGCCACTCCTGCTCCACCTCCACCCTGCCACTCCTGCTCCACCTCCACCCTGCCACTTCTGCTCCTCCTCCACCCTGTCACTCCTGCTCCTCCTCCACCCTGCCACTCCTGCTCCTCCTCCACCCTGTCACTCCTGCTCCTCCTCCACCCTGCCACTCCTGCTCCTCCTCCACCCTGCCACTCCTGCTCCTCCTCCATCCTGCCCCTCCTGCTCCTCCTCCACCCTGTCACTCCTGCTCCTCCTCCACCCTGCCACTCCTGCTCCTCCCTCCACCCTGCGACTCCTGCTCCTCCTCCACCCTGCCACTCCTGCTCCTCCTCCACCCTGCCACTCCTGCTCCTCCTCCACCCTGCCACTCCTGCTCCTCCTCCACCCTGCCACTCCTGCTCCTCCTCCACCCTGCCACTCCTGCTCCTCCTCCACCCTGTCATTCCTGCTCTGCCTCCACCCTGCCACTTCTGCTCCTCCTCCACCCTGTCACTCCTTCTCCTCCTTCACCCTGCCACTTCTGCTCCTCCTCCACCCTGTCACTCCTGCTCCTCCTCCACCCTGTCACTCCTGCTCCTCCTCCACCCTGCCACTCCTGCTCCTCCTCCACCCTGTCACCCCTGCTCCTCCTCCACCCTGTCACTCCTGCTCCTCCTCCACCCTGTCACTCCTGCTCCTCCTCCATCCTGTCACTCCTGCTCCTCCTCCACCCTGCCACTCCTGCTCCTCCTCCACCCTGCCACTCCTGCTCCTCCTCCACCCTGCCACTCCTGCTGCTCCTCCACCCTGCCACTCCTGCTCCTCCTCCATCCTGCCACTCCTGCTCCTCCTCCACCCTGCCACTCCTGCTCCTCCTCCACCCTGTCACTCCTGCTCCTCCTCCACCCTGCCACTCCTGCTCCTCCTCCACCCTGCCACTCCTGCTCCTCCTCCACCCTGCCACTCCTGCTTCTCCTCCACCCTGCCACTCCTGCTCCTCCTCAACCCTGCCACTCCTGCTCCACCTCCACCCTGCCACTTCTGCTCCTCCTCCACCCTGCCACTCCTGCTCCACCTCCACCCTGCCACTTCTGCTCCTCCTCCACCCTGTCACTCCTGCTCCTCCTCTATCCTGCCACTCCTGCTCCTCCTGCACCCTGCCACTCCTGCTCCTCCTCCACCCTGCCACTCCTGCTCCTCCTCCACCCTGTCACTCCTGCTCCTCCTCCACCCTGCCACTCCTGCTCCTCCTCCACCCTGCCACTCCTGCTCCTCCTCCACCCTGCTACTCCTGCTCCTCCTCCACCCTGCCACTCCTGCTACACCTCCACCCTGCCACTCCTGCTCCTCCTCCACCCTGCCACTCCTGCTCCTCCTCCACCCTGCGACTCCTGCTCCTCCTCCACCCTGTCACTCCTGCTCCTCCTCCACCCTGCCACTCCTGCTCCTCCTCCACCCTGCCACTCCTGCTCCTCCTCCCACCCTGCGACTCCTGCTCCTCCTCCACCTTGCCACTCCTGCTCCTCCTCCACCCTGCCACTCCTGCTCCACCTCCACCCTGTCACTCCTGCTCCTCCTCCACCCTGTCACTCCTGCTCCTCCTCCACCCTGCCACTCCTGCTCCACCTCCACCCTGCCACTCCTGCTCCTCCTCCACCTTGCCACTCCTGCTCCTCCTCCACCCTGCCACTCCTGCTCCTCCTCCACCCTGCCACTCCTGCTCCTCCTCCACCCTGTCACTCCTGCTCCTCCTCCACCCTGCCACTTCTGCTCCTCCTCCACCCTGCCACTCCTGCCCGCACACTCCGCTCCTCCTCCACCCTCACACTCTCCGTCCCCCCAGCCAGACTCATCCCTGTGGGACACAGAGCCTTCAGCCACACTGACTTCCGTACCATTGACTCTCTTCCACTCTTCAAATCCAGACTCAAAACCCATCTGTTCAGACTGTCCTACCCCATCCCATAATGCACTTGACTACTGTTTTATTCTGTTGCTCCTGTTTTTAATGTTTTTATTATGCCTGTACAGTGTCCTTGGGTGTTTAGAAAGGCGCGTTTAAATAAAATGTATTATTATTATTATTGTTACCAGAGAGAGACCAGAGAGAGACCAGAGAGAGACCAGAGAGAGAGAGATCAGAGAGAGAGACCAGAGAGAGACCAGAGAGAGACCAGAGAGAGAGACCAGAGAGAGAGATCAGAGTGAGAGCAGAGAGAGAGATCAGAGAGAGACCAGAGAGAGACCAGAGAGAGACAAGAGAGAGACCAGAGAGACCAGAGAGAGAGACCAGAGAGAGACTCCAAATATAGAAAGTAGAAAGAGAACAGAAAGAAAGGGACCAGAGAGCGATTAGGGAGACTCCAGATTTAGAAACCAGAGGGAGACTATAGAGAAATCTGCCAAACCAGTTGAGTCGGTTGTGACGACTTCCTCCTTGGTCTTGTGTGTTTCAGAGCAACACGACAGAGACTTCTTCAGGAACAATAAGGATCAGTCTGTCTGTGTTAGTGACCAGAAAGTAAGTACCATGTGTCTGTGTTAGTGACCAGAAAGTAAGTACCATGTGTCTGTGTTACGACCAGAAAGTAAGTACCATGTGTCTGTGTTAGTGACCAGAAAGTAAGTACCATGTGTCTGTGTTAGTGACCAGAAAGTAAGTACCATGTGTCTGTGTTAGTGACCAGAAAGTAAGTACCATGTGTCTGTGTTAGTGACCAGAAAGTAAGTACCATGTGTCTGTGTTAGTGACCAGAAAGTACCATGTGTCTGTGTTAGTGACCAGAAAGTAAGTACCATGTGTCTGTGTTAGTGACCAGAAAGTACCATGTGTCTGTGTAAGTGACCAGAAAGTACCATGTGTCTGTGTTAGTGACCAGAAAGTAAGTACCATGTGTCTGTGTTAGTGACCAGAAAGTAAGTACCATGTGTCTGTGTAAGTGACCAGAAAGTAAGTACCATATGTGTCTGTGTTAGTGACCAGAAAGTAAGTACCATGTGTCTGTGTTAGTGACCAGAAAGTAAGTACCATGTGTGACGTGTTGATGTGTGTGTAAGTGACCGGAAAGTAAGTACCATGTGTGACGTGTTGATGTGTGTGTAAGTGATGGGAAAGTAAGTACCATGTGTCTGTGTTAGGGACCATAAAGTAAGTACCATGTGTCTGTGTTAGTGACCAGAAAGTAAGTACCATGTGTGATGTGGCTGTGTTAGTGACCAGAAAGTAAGTACCATGTGTCTGTGTTAGTGACCAGAAAGTAAGTACCATGTGTCTGTGTTAGTGACCAGAAAGTAAGTGCCATGTGTCTGTGTTAGTGACCAGAAAGTAAGTACAATGTGTCTGTGTTAGTGACCAGAAAGTAAGTACCATGTGTCTGTGTTAGTGACCAGAAAGTACCATGTGTCTGTGTTAGTGACCAGAAAGTAAGTACCATGTGTCTGTGTTAGTGACCAGAAAGTAAGTACCATGTGTCTGTGTAAGTGACCAGAAAGTAAGTACCATGTGTCTGTGTTAGTGACCAGAAAGTAAGTACCATGTGTCTGTGTTAGTGACCAGAAAGATAGTACCATGTGTCTGTGTAAGTGACCAGAAAGTAAGTACCATGTGTCTGTGTTAGTGACCAGAAAGTAAGTACCATGTGTGACGTGTTGATGTGTGTGTTAGTGACCAGAAAGTAAGTACCATGTGTGACGTGTTGATGTGTGTGTTAGTGACCAGAAAGTAAGTACCATGTGTCTGTGTTAGGGACCAGAAAGTAAGTACCATGTATCTGTGTTAGTGACCAGAAAGTAAGTACCATGTGTGACGTGTTGATTGTGTGTGTAAGTGACCGGAAAGTAAGTACCATGTGTCTGTGTTAGGGACCATAAAGTATGTACCATGTGTCTGTGTTAGTGACCAGAAAGTAAGTACCATGTGTGATGTGGCTGTGTTAGTGACCAGAAAGTAAGTACCATGTGTCTGTGTTAGTGACCAGAAAGTAAGTACCATGTGTCTGTGTTAGTGACCAGAAAGTAAGTGCCATGTGTCTGTGTTAGTGACCAGAAAGTAAGTACCATGTGTCTGTGTTAGTGACCAGAAAGTAAGTACCATGTGTCTGTGTTAGTGGCCAGAACGTAAGTACCATGTGTCTGTGTTAGTGACCAGAAAGTACCATGTGTCTGTGTTAGGGACCAGAAAGTAAGTACCATGTGTCTGTGTTAGTGACCAGAAAGTACCATGTGTCTGTGTTAGTGACCAGAAAGTAAGTACCATGTGTCTGTGTAAGTGACCAGAAAGTAAGTACCATGTGTCTGTGTTAGTGACCAGAAAGTAAGTACCATGTGTGACGTGTTGATGTGTGTGTTAGTGACCAGAAAGTAAGTACCATGTGTCTGTGTTAGGGACCAGAAAGTAAGTACCATGTGTGACGTGTTGATGTGTGTGTTAGTGACCAGAAAGTAAGTACCATGTGTCTGTGTTAGGGACCAGAAAGTAAGTACCATGTGTCTGTGTTAGGAACCAGAAAGTAAGTACCATGTGTGACGTGTTGATGTGTGTGTTAGTGACCAGAAAGTAAGTACTATGTGTCTGTGTTAGGTACCAGAAAGTAAGTACCATGTGTCTGTGTTAGTGACCAGAAAGTAAGTACCATGTGTGACGTGTTGATGTGTGTGTGTTAGTGACCAGAAAGTAAGTACCATGTGTGACGTGTTGATGTGTGTGTTAGTGACCAGAAAGTAAGTACTATGTGTCTGTGTTAGGTACCAGAAAGTAAGTACCATGTGTCTGTGTTAGGGACCAGAAAGTTAGTACCATGTGTCTGTGTTAGGGACCAGAAAGTAAGTACCATGTGTGACGTGTTGATGTGTGTGTGTTAGTGACCAGAAAGTAAGTACCATGTGTGACGTGTTGATGTGTGTGTGTTAGTGACCAGAAAGTAAGTACCATGTGTAATGTGTCTGTGTTAGTGACCAGAAAGTAAGTACCATGTGTGACGTGTTGATGTGTGTGTGTTAGTGACCAGAAAGTAAGTACCATGTGTGACGTGTTGATGTGTGTCTGTGTTAGTGATCAGAAAGTAAGTACCATGTGTGATGTGTGTGTGATAGTGACCAGAAAGTAAGTACCATGTGTGACGTGTTGATCTGATGTAATGTAATAATTGTTTTGTATATAGTTGACTGTTGCTGTTGTATTATAATTTTTAATTTGATTTTGAGACATTTCTGAAAACAAGATGATTCATCTCAAAGGATTATTCCTCTTAATTAACGTTAATAATAATAATAATTAAAAGGCCTCGCCCCTCTTGCGACCGCCTCCCGGGCGCCAGTTCCACAAGCGTCAGGCCGACGAATTGGCAGCCCGATCTGACCAGGATTACGTACATAAAAGCTCATTAATATGATAAAGTGCGCCCCTAGTGGTCACCTCCGGGACATGCACCCTCTACGTAGAGTAGTATTTTGCTCGTACAGATGTAAAGATTTGATTTTGCAACTTTGGTGAAGATCGGAAAAGTTTAGGTCAGAAGCCTTCCATAGGTGGCGCTGTAGAGTCATATTAGGTGTGTGTTTTCACACCATTACTCTCAGGTCATTACCAACTGTTAGTGATGTGAGTTTCAGCTCTGTAGGTCTGAGCCTGTGGTCACGAGAGCATCAAACATGGAGAAATTCCCCACTACCTCGCATGAAAACGATAACAAAATTCTAACTGGGAGCGGCGCTCATTGGGCTCTGGTGGTGGTGTCTGGGCTGACACAGAGATCAGAAAGAGACCAGAGAGAGACCAGAGAGAGAGACCAGAGAGAGAGACCAGAGAGAGACCAGAGAGAGACCAGAGAGAGACACCAGGAAGACTCCAGATTTATAAACCAGAGAGAGACCAGAGAGAGAGACCAGAGAGAGAGACCAGAGAGCGACCAAAGAGAGACCAGAGAGAGACCAGAGAGAGACCACAGTGAGACCAATGAGAGACCAGAGAGAGACCAGAGAGAGACCACAGTGAGACCAGAGAGAGACCAGAGAGAGAGACCAGAGAGAGAGACCAGAGAGAGAGACCAGAGAGAGACCAGAGAGAGAGACCAGAGAGAGACCAGAGAGAGAGACCAGAGAGAGAGACCAGAGAGAGACCAGAGAGAGACCAGAGAGAGACCAGAGAGAGACCAGAGAGAGAGACCAGAGAGAGACGAGAGCAGAGACCAGAGAGAGACCAGAGAGAGAGACCAGAGAGAGACGAGAGAGAGACCAGAGAGAGAGACCAGAGAGAGACCAGAGAGATACCAGAGAGAGACCAGAGAGAGACCAGAGAGAGACCAGAGAGAGAGACCAGAGAGAGACCAGAGAGAGACCACAGTGAGACCACAAAGAGACCAGAGAGAGAGACCAGAGAGAGACCACAGTGAGACCAGAGAGAGACCAGAAAGAGACCAGAGAGAGACCAGAGAGAGACCACAGTGAGACCAGAGAAAGACCAGAGACAGAGACCAATGAATGACCAGAGAGAGAAGAGAAAGAGAGAGACCAGAAAGAGATCAGAGGGAGAGACCAGGAAAACTCCAGATTTAGAAACCAGAGAGAGACTATAGAGGAATCTGCCAAACCAGTTGAGTCGGTTGTGACGACTTCCTCCTTGGTCTTGTGTGTTTCAGAGCAACACGACAGAGACTTCTTCAGGAACAATAAGGATCAGTCTGTCTGTGTTAGTGACCAGAAAGTAAGTACCATGTGTCTGTGTTAGTGACCAGAAAGTAAGTACCATGTGTCTGTGTTAGTGACCAGAAAGTAAGTACCATGTGTCTGTGTTAGTGACCAGAAAGTAAGTACCATGTGTCTGTGTTAGTGACCAGAAAGTAAGTACCATGTGTCTGTGTTAGTGACCAGAAAGTAAGTACCATGTGTCTGTGTTAGTGACCAGAAAGTAAGTACCATGTGTCTGTGTTAGTGACCAGAAAGTAAGTACCATGTGTCTGTGTTAGTGACCAGAAAGTAAGTACCATGTGTCTGTGTTAGTGACCAGAAAGTAAGTACCATGTGTCTGTGTTAGTGACCAGAAAGTAAGTACATTGGGTCTGTGTTAGTGACCAGAAAGTAAGTACCATGTGTCTGTGTTAGTGACCAGAAAGTTAGTACCATGTGTCTGTGTTAGTGACCAGAAAGTAAGTACCATGTGTATGTGTTAGTGACCAGAAAGTAAGTACCATGTGTCTGTGTTAGTGACCAGAAAGTAAGTACCATGTGTCTGTGTTAGTGACCAGAAAGTAAGTACCATGTGTCTGTGTTAGTGACCAAAAAGTAAGTACCATGTGTCTGTGTTAGTGACAAGAAAATAAGTACCATGTGTCTGTGTTAGTGACCAGAAAGTAAGGACCATGTGTCTGTGTTAGGGACCAGAAAGTAAGTACCATTTGTCTGTGTTAGTGACCAGAAATTAAGTACCATGTGTCTGTGTTAGTGACCAGAAAGTAATTACCATGTGTCTGTGACCAGAAAGTAAGTACCATGTGTCTGTGTTAGTGACCAGACAATAAGTACCATGTGTCTGTGTTAGTGACCAGAAAGTAAGTACCATGTGTCTGTGTTAGGGACCAGAAAGTAAGTACCATGTGTGACGTGTTGATGTGTTAGTGTTAGTACTAGAAAGTATGTACCATGTGGGAGCGGCGCTCATTGGTGCGTCACAGACAGAGCTGCACCTTTAAAGCTCGTGCACATGCCAGACATTCTTGTTGCTCATCCTGCTCCCATCCTGCCACCTGCCCCGCCTCCTTAGGTTTGGTTTGCTCTGGTTTGGTTTGGTTAGCTTTGGTTTGGTTTAGTTTGTGGTATATTTTCTACACACCATTCACCACTGCAGACTCTCACAGCACATACACCGCACACACTCACTACACACTTCAAACCTCATTAAAACATTCACTTTGGTTATTCATAAATATTATTTCAATTGAAACTGTTTTTAGAGAGTTTCTGTCATTTCTACGGAGCCGGGTTATGGCAGAATGGGGCTCGTCCGGGACACAGGGGACTTCATACTGAGCCGTGGCATGGGCGTGGCCGTGTTGTCCATTCCGTTACACAGGATGAGTTTGGAGTGTGAGCTGGTGCGGGGAGAGGTCACTGTCGGTGTGCGACCAGCGCTGCCCATCGAGAGGATTCATTTCATTTTGGAGAATGGGTCGGCTGGTGGTGGTGTCTGGGCTGACACAGACTCTGGTGGTGGTGTCTGGGCTGACGCAGACTCTGGTGGTGGTGTCTGGGCTGACACAGACTCTGGTGGTGGTGTCTGGGCTGACACAGACTCTGGTGGTGGTGTCTGGGCTGACACAGACTCTGGTGGTGGTGTCTGGGCTGACACAGACTCTGGTGGTGGTGTCTGGGCTGACACAGACTCTGGTGGTGGTGTCTGGGCTGACACAGACTCTGGTGGTGGTGTCTGGGCTGACACAGACTCTGGTGGTGGTGTCTGGGCTGACACAGACTCTGGTGGTGGTGTCTGGGCTGACACAGACTCTGGTGGTGGTGTCTGGGCTGACACAGACTCTGGTGGTGGTGTCTGGGCTGACACAGACTCTGGTGGTGGTGTCTGGGCTGACACAGACTCTGGTGGTGGTGTCTGGGCTGACACAGACTCTGGTGGTGGTGTCTGGGCTGACACAGACTCTGGTGGTGGTGTCTGGGCTGACACAGACTCTGGTGGTGATGTCTGGGCTGACACAGACTCTGGTGGTGGTGTCTGGGCTGACACAGACTCTGGTGGTGGTGTCTGGGCTGACACAGACTCTGGTGGTGGGTGGTCTGGGCTGACACAGACTCTGGTGGTGGTGTCTGGGCTGACACAGACTCTGGTGGTGGTGTCTGGGCTGACACAGACTCTGGTGGTGGTGTCTGGGCTGACACAGACTCTGGTGGTGGTGTCTGGGCTGACACAGACTCTGGTGGTGGTGTCTGGGCTGACACAGACTCTGGTGGTGGTGTCTGGGCTGACACAGACTCTGGTGGTGGTGTCTGGGCTGACACAGACTCTGGTGGTGGTGTCTGGGCTGACACAGACTCTGGTGGTGGTGTCTGGGCTGACACAGACTCTGGTGGTGGTGTCTGGGCTGACACAGACTCTGGTGGTGGGGAGACTGTGGATCCTGAGGCTGTGGAGGTGCTGCACCTGTTGTTACTTTATGTCCCACTGTCCCTGAGAGCGTTACGTCATCGCAGCCAGACGTGTTCCCTGCGTGCGCGGTGACGCAGGCCATGCATGAAGCGGATTCTGCAGATGATGCAGAGTCAGTGATTTTGTGTTGTCCACGGCAGAATATCCATTAAATGTATCCCACGCTGAGTTGGTTCGGGCGCCGCAAGAAGATCTGACTTTGGAAAGTTCATTTGATTTGGCTGTCTCCGAGGCACAAAACTCTGCTCCCACTAATGTCTACTGTCGCTGTGTCCTTGGGCAAGACACTTAACCCCACATTGCCTGAAGCTCCCGCTGAAACACCGAGGCTGTGGCACTGATGTAGCAGCCATCTTCCTGTGGACCCACCCCCTGCAGAGGATCAGAGGGACTGGTGCTATGAGCATTGGGGGCAGCTCTCATTACCACCCCCCGACCCAGAGATGGACTAATAAAGGGGTAGAATATGAATGAATGAATGACGAGGCACAGATAGAGAGTTTGGCAAATGGATATTCTGTTCAGAAGGATGTGCTGTTCAGAAAGTACATGTTTGTGGGGACCGTGTGCACGATGCCATGTTCCAAGTTGTAGTTCCAGCAAAGTTTCGTTCTTGAGGTGGCGCACAATAATTCTGGTCACTTTGGCGTTCGTAAAACATATCTGAGTCTTCTCAAGCATTTCTTTGGCCGCGGGTGAATAGAGATGTGTCGGCGTTTGTTAAGACTTGTCACACATGTTGACAGGAAAAAGGGCACTAGCCCCAGCACCACTGCAGCCTATTCCAGCTGTAAGTGAGCCATTTGAATATTTATGAACAGATTGTGTGGGTCCGTTGCCGTGTGCTAGATCTGGGTGTAAATATCTCCTCCGTAGAAATGACAGAAACTCTCTAAACAACAGTTTCAATTGAAATAATATTTATGAATAACCAAAGTGAATGTTTTAATGAGGTTTGAAGTGTGTAGTGAGTGTGTGCGGTGTATGTGCTGTGAGAGTCTGCAGTGGTGAATGGTGTGTAGAAAATATACCACAAACTAAACCAAACCAAAGCTAACCAAACCAAACCAGAGCAAACCAAACCTAAGGAGGCGGGGCAGGTGGCAGGATGGGAGCAGGATGAGCAACAAGAATGTCTGGCATGTGCACGAGCTTTAAAGGTGCAGCTCTGTCTGTGACGCACCAATGAGCGCCGCTCCCACCGGAGAGGAAGGCTCTACGGCCTGTTAGCGACCGTAAGACCAGTCTCTGACTCTGGTCCCAGTCTCTGGCTCTGGTCCCAGTCTCTGACTCTGGTCCCAGTCTCTGACTCTGGTCCCAGTCTCTGACTCTGACTCTGGTCCCAGTCTCTGACTCTGGTCTCAGTCTCTGACTCTGGTCCCAGTCTCTGACTCTGGTCTCAGTCTCTGACTCTGGTCTCAGTCTCTGACTCTGGTCTCAGTCTCTGACTCTGGTCCCAGTCTCTGACTCTGGTCCCAGTCTCTGGCTCTGGTCCCAGTCTCTGACTCTGGTCCCAGTCTCTGACTCTGGTCTCAGTCTCTGACTCTGGTCCCAGTCTCTGACTCTGGTCCCAGTCTCTGGCTCTGGTCCCAGTCTCTGACTCTGGTCTCAGTCTCTGACTCTGGTCCCAGTTTCTGGTCCAGTCTCTGACTCTGGTCCCAGTCTCTGGCTCTGGTCCCAGTCTCTGACTCTGGTCCCAGTCTCTGACTCTGGTCCCAGTCTCTGACTCTGGTCCCAGTCTCTGGTCCCAGTCTCTGACTCTGGTCCCAGTCTCTGACTCTGGTCCCAGTCTCTGGTCCCAGTCTCTGACTCTGGTCCCAGTCTCTGACTCTGGTCCCAGTCTCTGACTCTGGTCCCAGTCTCTTACCCTGGTCCTAGTCTCTGGCTCTGGTCCAGTCTCTGACTCTGGTCCCAGTCTCTGACTCCCAGAGAGAGACCAGAAAGACCGGAGAAAATGCGGCCGCATGATTACATGCAAGTACAGTTTGTGGCCTCACCTGTATGTGAAAGCCATATCCCTCAGACCTCTGAAGCTAATCAAGAGAGGGCCTGGTTAGTCTGTGATGGGAGACCTCTGGGAACAGCAGGTGCCACAGTGGGGCAGCTGCGGCTGTAAAGTGCCAAACTATGGTTGTGTCCTTAGGCAAGACACTTCCCCCACATTAGAATGAGTCTGGTGTGTGTGTGAATGGTTGGTAGTGGTGGGAGGGGCCGATGGCACAGACTGGTTGCCTCGCTTCTGTCAGTGTGCCCCAGGGCAGCTGTGGCTACAGTAGTTCATCACCACCGTGTTTGGAGAGAAAGAATAATGACATGTGTTCTGAAAAGTGCTGTATAAACCAATGCATTATTATTATTAAAATCCAGAGAGAGACCAGAGAGAGAGACCAGAGAGAGACCAGAGAGAGACCAGAGAGAGAGACCAGAGAGAGACCAGAGAGAGACCAGAGAGAGATCAGAGAGAGACCAGAGAGAGAGACCAGAGAGAGAGACCAGAGAGAGAGACCAGAGAGAGAGACCAGAGAGAGACCAGAGAGAGACCAGAGAGGGACCAGAGAAAGACCAGAGAGAGAGACCAGAGAGAGAGACCACAGAGAGACCAGAGAGAGACCAGAGAGAGAGACCAGAGAGAGACCAGAGAGAGACCAGAGAGAAACCAGAGAGAGAGACCAGAGAGAGACCAGAGAGAGATCAGAGAGAGACCAGAGAGAGACCAGAGAGAGACCAGAGAGAGAGACCAGAGAGAGAGACCAGAGAGAGACCAGAGAGAGAGACCAGAGAGAGACCAGAGAGAGACCAGAGAGAGACCAGAGAGAGAGACCAGAGAGAGACCAGAGAGAGACAAGAGAGAGACCAGAGAGAGACAAGAGAGAGACCAGAGAGAGAGACCAGAGAGAGACCAGAGAGAGACCAGAGAGAGACCAGAGAGAGACCAGAGAGAGACCAGAGAAGAGACCAGAGAGAGACCAGAGAAAGACCAGAGAGAGACCAGAGAGAGAGACCAGAGAGAGACCAGAGAGAGACCAGAGAGAGAGACCAGAGAGAGAGACCAGAGAGAGACCAGAGAGAGACCAGAGAGAGACCAGAGAGAGACACCAGAGAGAGAGACCAGAGAGAGACCATAGTGAGACCAGAGAGAGACCAGAGAGAGACCAGAGAGAGAGACCAGAGAGAGAGACCAGAGAGAGACCAGAGAGAGACACCAGAGAGAGACCAGAGAGAGACCACAGTGAGACCAGAGAAAGACCAGAGAGAGACCAGAGAGAGACCAGAGAGAGACCACAGTCAGACCAGAGAGAGACCAGAGACAGAGACCAATGAATGACCAGAGAGAGAAGAGAAAGAGAGAGACCAGAAAGAGATCAGAGGGAGAGACCAGGAAGAGTCCAGATTTATAAACCAGAGAGACTATAGAGAAATCTGCCAAACCAGTTGAGTCGGTTGTGACGACTTCCTCCTTGGTCTTGTGTGTTTCAGAGCAACACGACAGAGACTTCTTCAGGAACAATAAGGATCAGTCTGTCTGTGTTAGTGACCAGAAAGTAAGTACCATGTGTCTGTGTTAGTGACCAGAAAGTAAGTACCATGTGTCTGTGTTAGTGACCAGAAAGTAAGTACCATGTGTCTGTGTTAGTGACCAGAAAGTAAGTACCATGTGTCTGTGTTAGTGACCAGAAAGTAAGTACCATGTGTCTGTGTTAGTGACCAGAAAGTAAGTACCATGTGTCTGTGTTAGTGACCAGAAAGTAAGTACCATGTGTCTGTGTTAGTGACCAGAAAGTAAGTACCATGTGTTTGTGTTAGTGACCAGAAAGTAAGTACCATGTGTCTGTGTTAGTGACCAGAAAGTAAGTACCATGTGTCTGTGTTAGTGACCAGAAAGTAAGTACCATGTGTCTGTGTTAGTGACCAGAAAGTAAGTACCATGTGTCTGTGTTAGTGACCAGAAAGTAAGTACCATGTGTGTGTGTTAGTGACCAGAAAGTAAGTACCATGTGTCTGTGTTAGTGACCAGAAAGTAAGTACCATGTGTCTGTGTTAGTGACCAGAAAGTAAGTACCATGTGTCTGTGTTAGTGACCAGAAAGTAAGTACCATGTGTCTGTGTTAGTGACCAGAAAGTAAGTACCATGTGTCTGTGTTAGTGACCAGAAAGTAAGTACCATGTGTCTGTGTTAGTGACCAGAAAGTAAGTACCATGTGTCTGTGTTAGTGACCAGAAAGTAAGTACCATGTGTCTGTGTTAGTGACCAGAAAGTAAGTACCATGTGTCTGTGTTAGTGACCAGAAAGTAAGTACCATGTGCCTGTGTTAGTGACCAGAAAGTAAGTACCATGTGTGTGTGTTAGTGACCAGAAAGTAAGTACCATGTGTCTGTGTTAGTGACCAGAAAGTAAGTACCATGTGCCTGTGTTAGTGACCAGAAAGTAAGTACCATGTGTCTGTGTTAGTGACCAGAAAGTAAGTACCATGTGTCTGTGTTAGTGACCAGAAAGTAAGTACCATGTGTCTGTGTTAGTGACCAGAAAGTAAGTACCATGTGTCTGTGTTAGTGACCAGAAAGTAAGTACCATGTGTCTGTGTTTAGTGACCAGAAAGTAAGTACCATGTGTCTGTGTTAGTGACCAGAAAGTAAGTACCATGTGTCTGTGTTAGTGACCAGAAAGTAAGTACCATGTGTCTGTGTTAGTGACCAGAAAGTAAGTACCATGTGTCTGTGTTAGTGACCAGAAAGTAAGTACCATGTGTCTGTGTTAGTGACCAGAAAGTAAGTACCATGTGTCTGTGTTAGTGACCAGAAAGTAAGTACCATGTGTCTGTGTTAGTGACCAGAAAGTAAGTACCATGTGTCTGTGTTAGTGACCAGAAAGTAAGTACCATGTGTCTGTGTTAGTGACCAGAAAGTAAGTACCATGTGTCTGTGTTAGTGACCAGAAAGTAAGTACCATGTGTCTGTGTTAGTGACCAGAAAGTAAGTACCATGTGTCTGTTAGTGACCAGAAAGTAAGTACCATGTGTGACGTGTTAATGTGTGACGTATGTATACAACAGTTACTATAGGAACAGTGGGCGGAGTCAAACACTGTTTTATTGTGTAGGAGTCTGGACTGACCACCAGCAGGGCGGCGACAGAGAGACTGAGCATGGACCAGAGAGAGCACTGTCCTCCCACCATCAGAAGGGCGGCGTCACTGAGCTCCATTGATCGATATGTTGACTTTAAAAAGGAGGAGGATCATGGGTAAGTCTGACTGTGATTCATGTGTGTCTGAGGCTAAGCAGGTCAGGGCCTGGGCGGTCATCTCCTGTTGTTCCTCTGTATCGTTGAACTGATTTTTTAGTTTTACAATACAATACACACAATACAATACAATATAATACAATTACAATACAATACAATACAATACAATACAATTTATTCTTGTATAGCCCTAGGTCACAACAGAAGTCATCTCAGAGGACTTAACAAAACCATTGAAATCACCAACACAGGTCAGAGAATCAACAGTTAAAACACATGAAGAATATATAAGCACACACAGAAGAAAATGTCCATACATGTTGTAGAATGCTAAATTGTGTCCTGATCATCACCAATCCTTTCTGTTGGACACTAACTGTCCAACAAGGACCCTCCTGCATCGACCAAGGAAAAATCTCTTAAAAAACCCAGTGGGAAAAAGTGAGAAACCTTGGGGAGCGACTAGGGAAACCACAGGGAGAGACCCATATGAGAAAGGGATCCGCTCCTCGGACGGACAGGCTAATGATCTAGGACCTAAGCTAGCTACAGAACGTGGACCAGAGAGAGAGAGAGAGGCAGTGCGCACGGCCGAGCGACAGGTCCGAGAATTGCAAAGGCTGCGGTGAACAGCGGTGTCAGGAAAGCACGGCGCCGGCCAAGTCCAACCAGCAACATACAACATCCAGCCCACCGGCCCTTAGCCCAACCGGCCCACCGGGAAACCTCCCGACTCTCCCGATTAGCCACGCCGGCACTGCAGATGAGGTCAAAGACATGATGCAGCACGTCTCCATCTATCACTGACCTGCTGCCAACAGTAATATCTGCTGTATCTGAATCCAGAGTTGAGAATTAGTTAATAACTTACACTTATAACTATTTGGTGTTAATTCAGATTGGTTTACTAAAAGATTTCTATAACAGACGGTTTCAGACGGCTGCAGGTGGTGTTGGTATCGGTTCTGTTATTCATTGTATGTGTCACATTTACTAATGAATAAACTCACACTTTGATTGTTTTACAGCTCTTGGTTCTTTACATTTTTTTTGCTCTCGGTCACTGCAGAATCTCCACAACAGCACTTTTCTGTCAGATGTTTGAACTCGAGAAGAAGATCTTAAGGCGAGGCCTAATGTTTATTTGATGATTAAAATATCACAGATCAGAGAAGCACATTTTAGTGAATAGAAAGATAAGTGTTTGTTCTGTAATGAGGAGCAGCTCTCTGCCTCCAGATGAGAAAGCCTTGTTGTGTTTGTTTGCAGAGTTATCTTTGTTTCTGGACTTGTGCTCTTCTTTAGTTAAACTATCAGTGTTAAACTGTTCTTTAAACTGTTCTGTGAACTGTTCTTTAAACTGTTCTTTAAACTGTTCTTTTTCTCACATAAACCTGTGTGTTGGAGCGAGGGTGGACTCAGGTGAGGGGTGGTCTTAGCAGCATCTTTAACTGTCTTTGTCCACTGGTATTGTCCAAAACAATGACCAACAGGTTCTGTAAGAACAGTGAATCATATGAACCCTCTGACCTGAGCGTCTCCAGTTTACAGTGAGGACTCTTCAGTCCATCAGACAACAGCTTCAGCCCTGAGTCCTTCAAGTCGTTGAGACTCAGGTCCAGGACTCTCAGACTAGAGGACTGGGAGCTGAGGACTGAGGCCAGAGCTCCACAGCTTCTGTCTGACAGCTCACAGCGGCTCAGTCTGGAGACAGAAAACATGGTTATGAAGAAGTTGAATGAATCCTGTGTTAAACAAAGGTTACTCACAGAGCTTTGGTGGAGGCCTTGACCACTGGCAGCAGCCTCAGGAGAGCCTCCTCTGAAGCACAGTATCTGCTCAGCTCAAACTGGTCCAGATCTTCTTCTGATGACAGTAAGATGAAGGCCAGTGCTGACCACTGAGCAGGAGACAGTCCTTCAGACAGACCTCCTGACCTCAGGGTCTGTTGGATCTGCTCCACCAGAGAAGAATCATTCAGTTCATTCAGACAGTGGAGCAGACTGATGCTCCTCTCTGCAGACACATCCTTACTCAGCTTCTTCTTAATGTATTCTGCTGTCTTCTGATTGGTCTTGGAGCTACTTCCTGTCTGTGTCAGCAGACCGTTTAGAAGGCTCTGATTGGTCGACACTGACAGGCCCAGGAGGAAGCGGAGGAGCAGGTCCAGGTGTCCGTTTGGACTCAGTAAGGCCTGGTCCACAGCTGTCTGATGAAAATGATTCAGTTTTCTTTTCAAACTAAATATTGTGGACTTATGTGTTTTCTGTGAGAGCAGGTTGGTTCCAGTGTTGATGAAGGTCAGATGGACGTGAAGAGCAGCCAGAAACTCCTGCACACTCAGATGGATGAAGCAGTAGACCGTGTCCTGGTACAGGCCTGGCTCCTCTCTAAAGACCTGTGTGAAGACTCCGGAGTACACTGAGGCGGCTGCAGCGTCCAGCCCACACTCGCTCAGGTCACAGTCGTAGAAGATCAGGTTTCCTCTCTGCAGCTGCTCAAAGGCCAGTTTTCCCAGAGACTCCACCATCTTCCTGGTGTCTGGACTCCAGTGTGGGTCTGTCTCTGATCCTTCTTTATACTTGATGTTCTTGACTTTGGCCTGAACTACCAGGAAGTGGCTGTACATCTGCGTCAGGCTCTTGGGCAGCTCTCCTCTCTCTCTGCTCTTCAACACATGCTCCAGGACTGTGGCAGTGATCCAGCAGAAGACTGGCATGTGGCACATGATGTGGAGGCTTCTGGACGTCTTGATGTGGGAGAGGACTGTGTCAGCCTGTTCTCCGAACCTCCTCCTGAAGTACTGCTCCTTCTGAGAGTCGCTAAACCCTCGGACCTCTGTCACCATGGAGACGCACTCTGCAGGGATCTGATTGGCCGCCGCGGGGCGTGTGGTGATCCAGAGGCGAGCGGAGGGAAGCAGGCTCCCCCTGATGAGGTTCACCAGCAGCAGGTCCAGAGAGACGGACTCTGTGGGGTCTGAGAGGACACGAGAGCTGCTGAAGTCCAGAGGAAGTCTGCACTCGTCCAGACCGTCAAAGATGAAGAGCACCTGGAGGTCTTCAAAGCTGCAGAGATCTGCTTGTGTTTGACTAAAGAAGTGATGAACAAGTGACACCAGGCTGAAGCTTCTGTCCTTCACAACATTGAGAGTTCTGAAAGTGAAGGGGAACAGCAGCTGGAGGTCCTGGTTGGCTTTGCCTTCAGCCCAGTCCAGACTAAACTTCTGAGTGAGCACTGTTTTCCCGATGCCAGCCACTCCCTTTGTCAGCACCGTTCTGATTGGTTTGTCTGAGTTGGCCGGGTCTTTAAAGATGTCTTCACACGTGATGGTTCTCTCTGCTGGTCTCCTGGAGGCTGCTTCCATGTGTCGGACCTCATGTTCCTGGTTGACCTCTGAAGAGCCTCCCTCTGTGATGTAGAGCTCGGTGTAGATCTGCTTCAGGAGGGTGGGGGCTCCTGCTTTAGCGATGCCCTCAAACACACACTCAAACCTCTGCTGCAGATCCACCTTCAGTTTACGCTGAGAACGTCCAGAAGAAACCCCTGAATGAAGACAACAGAGACAGGAGTCAGAGAAGATCACATGACCATCATGAACGTGTTCTTACTGCTCCACAGACGCTCAGCCAGCTCCTTCTGATCCATCCTCCTCAGGAAGTTCAGTGTGATCTTCAGGAGCGCCTCACTACTGCTCCTCTGCTCCTCATCCTCCACAGGCTCTAAGCATTCTGGGTAATCTGTGCTCAGAAGCCTGAGGAACTTCTTAAGCTCCTCCTGGAAAAAAGTGGAGAGGTCCTTCTCCAGGTTCTGCACACACACATAAGAAACAACACAAATGGAGATGGGTTAGCGGCTGCTACACTATGGCAACCCACAGAAGGACGGGTCAAATGCAGAGGACACATGTCCTGCTGGTGGCAGTCAGAGATGCCACCCAAGCACAAAGAGTCTCTTTTCTTGTATGTCCAAGACATGCGCACGCTGCAACTGGCGGTGGATGAGAGCTTGGCGTCTTGGTTGAGTGTGTTTTAAGAACTTTATGAACTTTAGTTTTAGTTATTGTGGTCGACTGGTGCATGTGACGGACTGGTGCTTTTATCAACGCAACCAGAGGCAAGTGACCAGCTTTATTGTGCTGGCAAACCTTCTCCTTCGCCTTCTGGCAAACAAAATCAATGGAGCTGCAGTATCTTCTTTTGCAAGACTTCAATACACAAGAGATATGCTCCTTGAACTGAAACTGAGTTCCATGTCATCTGTCCCAGGCTTCGTCTGGCAATCCGCAGGGATTTTAATCACGTGGCCTTGAAAAAGAACTTAAGAACTTCTGTCAGAATGTCTCCTGCCCAACCAGGCAGGAGAAAACACTGGACTTGTGCTATGGATCTATTGAGGGGCCTACAAAGCTTTTCCAATCCCTCCATTGAGCTCCTCAGATCATAGATTTGTGCAGTTAGTGCCTGCTTATGAGACCGTTCTGAAGAGAGTAAAAACTGAGACCAGGGATGTAGAAGTCTGGACTCAGGATGCTGTACTTTCACTACAGGAATGCTTGTACAGACTGGGATGTCTTTACTCAGTCATGTGACGATGACCTGGACACCTTGGCTGATATGACCTGCTCTTATGAGGCTTTTTGAAGGGACATGATAATACCATCCAAAAGGGTCAAAATATACCCCAATAATAGGCCTTGGGTTACAAGAACTGTAAAGTCCTGCTTACAGAAAAGGGCTTTAGCTTTTCAGCAAGGCTCACAACCTGGTATTCAAGAAGCCAAGAAGAAACTTAAAACTGAAATGCTTAAATTAAATGTGCTTACAAATCAAAACTGGAAAATAGGATGGCAGCAACAACAACATGGTTCAGCCTGGACAAGCATGAACATCAATGCTGGCTCCAAAATGGCCAAGCAACAAAAAAAAATGTTTTAGAGGGCTTTGTATCTGACAGTGAACTGGCCAATTACTTTCATGAGTTTTGCTGCCGTTTTGACTCTTTTGACTTTAGTTGGGAAAATCTTGATTTGAAACATGATCTTGTTGACACGGTGGCTGTGTGGTTAGCACTCTCGCCTCTCAGCAAGAAGGTCCTGGGTTCGAATCCCGGTCGGAACAGGGTCTTTCTGAGTGGAGTTTGCATGTTCTCCCCGTGCCTGAGTAGGTTTCCTCCGGGTACTCCAGTTTCCCTTACCACTAAAAACATGCTCACTAGGTTAAAATCCTCCAGCTCCGGTCCTGACCCAGAGCATCAACATCTGGAGATGGATTCCCAGACGCTGTTCTACAGCGACCACTGCTCCTGACGTATGCCTTAGTGGCATCAGGATGGGTCAGAGAATGCAGAGGAATGAATTGCCCTACGGGGATTAATAAAAGTGCACCTTTACCTTTACTGAGGATGTCATAAAAGCCCTCTCTATAATTAAGCCAAACAAAAACCTCGGTCTTGACAAGATATGTGGTCGCTTACTCAAATCCTCTGTGCATGAAGTAAGTCCTATTTTACATTTTATTTTCCATAAATCTCCAAGATGGCGTTGGTGTATGGCTGAGTAGCTCGAGCTCTGGGTTGCACCCTGTCTTTTGCTGTCTGTCTTGTGTGCATGGGGATGGATACAGTGGTGTACGACCGTGAGACTCTTTTTGAGTATTGGAGACAGAGTTTGTGGCGAAGTTCTGCCCGAACTCCGATGCAAGGACTTCGTTGAGTGTCCTACCCGGACCGGCGGGCAGCGCTACGCCTCTAGCCGGGATCAGAGCGAGTGGGGTGGGCATCTCCACCACTCGCACCGCGGAGTCCAGGCAGCCTGGGGCCGAAGGAGGAAGCGTCGCCTCCAAGGAAAGCGCGCTGGTCTGCTCGTGCGGAGCCGTACCTCCAGGTCCCCGCTGCCGTCCATATATTTAGCGAACATGCAGTCCCTTCTGAACAAATCAGATGACCTCGCGAGCCGAATCCGGGTCCAGAGAGAGGCCGCAGAATGCGCTGCGTTCTGTCTGACGGAGACTTGGCTCCACAGCGGTGTTCAGGACTCTGCGTTTCTGCCACCTGGCTTCTCCGTTTTCCGTATGGACAGGAATAAGGAGTCCACGGGAAAAAACAGAGAAGGTGGGGAATGTATCCTGCTCAACCAGTGCTGGAGCACAGACAATGTTGTGATTAACATTTTTTGTTCAGCTAACCTAGAATATATTGTGCTAAAATGCTGCCCTTTCTTTCTGCCCCGGGAACTGACTGCTGTGTTTCTGTGTGCTGTTTACATTCACCCCCGAGCGGACTCCGCTGACGTGCTAAATGACTTGAGTGACATTTTGCATAAATGCGAAGGTGCTTATCCCAAAGCAGCCATAATTGCAGCGGGTGACTTCAACAAATGTAACTTAAAGTCAGTGCTCCATAACTTTCACCAGCATGTGTCTATGCCTACAAGGTGCTCTCGCATTCTGGATCACTGCTATAGTAATATTAAAGGGGCCTTTAGGTCTTACCTCAGACCAGTGCTCGGGAGGTCTGACCACTCTTCAGTGCTGCTTCTACCATCATATATGCAGAAGAGCCAGCTACAGAAACCATCCTTTCGTTCTGTTCAGTGCTGGTCAGACGACGTAAACTTAAAGCTGCAGGGCTATTTTGACGCCACGGACTGGTCTGTTTTCCACTCGGAAAATGTGGACGAATACTGTGATGCTGTTACGGGATATATTGACTTTTGTATTGATTGCTGTGTCCCACGGAAAATAATAAAAGAGCCTTGTGGTCAAAACCTATGGATGACTTCGGAAGTAAAAAGTAGAATCCGTGAGCGTGCGTTAGCTTTTCAATCTGGCGATGCATTGGCTTACAAACTATCCAGATGTGCTTTAGAACGCTCTATTAAACACGTTAAGCGGTCCTATGGAGAGCGACAAGAAGGACACTGCATAGAGAACGATTCCAGGCAAAAGTGGAAGGGCATTCAGACCATCACAGCCTGGAAGCCGAGCGCAGGCAGAACTGTCATCGCTGACAAAGCTCTGCCCAACGAGCTCAAGAACTTTTACTGTCACTTTGAAGCCGCTGATCCCTCACCTGTCGTCTTCCTTGACTGTATAGACCAAGCAGCCTTTACAGTGACGCAGGAGGAAGTGCAGAGGGTCCTGTCCAGAACCCCGACCCGAAAAGCCCCATGCCCAGACGGCATTGAGCGGCTTATACTGGACTTTGTACTGGACTTTGTTTAGAGCCAGATCCCCTCCGGTACCGACCCGCTCCAGTTTGGGTACAAAGAAAACAGGAGCGTTGAAGAGCTGATCTGTCTTGCACTGAACTCTGTGTACAGTCATCTGGACAATGCTAAATCTCTGGCCAGAATGCTGTTCATTGATTACAGCTCTGCTTTTAACTGTCTAGTCCCAGGTAAACTGGTTGAAAAGCTCAGATCCCTCGGCCTGAGCGAAGCCATGTGTAAATGGATTTACAGCTCTCTCATCAGCAGATCTCAGAGAGTTAGAATCGGTGGCCGTCTCTCAGATGAAGCGTTTGTGAGCACTGGATCTCCTCAGGGGTGTATTCTGAGTCCTCTGCTCTTCACATTGTACACCCATGACTGTGTTGCTTCTTCTGACTCAAACTTGATCATTAAATATGCAGACGACACCACCATTGATTCCCAGGTGACCACTCACCTGTGCTGTCGTGGTCTCTCTCTCTCCCACTCACCTGTGCCGTCGTGGTCTCTCTCTCTCCCACTCACCTGTGCAGTCGTGGTCTCTCTCTCTCCCACTCACCTGTGCAGTCGTGGTCTCTCTCTCTCCCACTCACCTGTGCAGTCGTGGTCACTCTCTCTCCCACTCACCTGTGCCGTCGTGGTCTCTCTCGCTCCCACTCACCTGTGCAGTCGTGGTCACTCTCTCTCCCACTCACCTGTGCCGTCGTGGTCTCTCTCTCTCCCACTCACCTGTGCCGTCGTGGTCTCTCTCTCTCCCACTCACCTGTGCAGTCGTGGTCACTCTCTCTCCCACTCACCTGTGCAGTCGTGGTCACTCTCTCTCCCACTCACCTGTGCAGTCGTGGTCCCTCTTTCTCCCACTCACCTGTGCAGTCGTGGTCCCTCTCTCTCTCACTCACCTGTGCAGTCGTGGTCTCTCTCCCACTCACCTGTGCCGTCGTGGTCTCTCTCTCTCCCACTCACCTGTGCAGTCGTGGTCACTCTCTCTCCCACTCACCTGTGCAGTCGTGGTCTCTCTCACTCACCTGTGCAGTCGTGGTCTCTCCCACTCACCTGTTCAGTCGTGGTCTCTCTCCCACTCACCTGTGCAGTCGTGGTCTCTCTCTCTCACCTGTGCAGTCGTGGTCTCTTTCACTCACCTGTGCAGTCGTGGTCTCTCTCTCTCACCTGTGCAGTCGTGGTCTCTCTCTCACTCACCTGTGCAGTCGTGGTCTCTCCCACTCACCTGTGCAGTCGTGGTCTCTCTCACTCACCTGTGCAGTCGTGGTCTCTCTCTCACTCACCTGTGCAGTCGTGGTCTCTCTCTCTCACCTGTGCAGTCGTGGTCTCTCTCACTCACCTGTTCAGTCGTGGTCTCTCTCACTCACCTGTGCAGTCGTGGTCTCTCTCACTCACCTGTGCAGTCGTGGTCTCTCTCACTCACCTGTGCAGTCGTGGTCTCTCTCTCTCCTGTGGTCATTGAAAACTCTCAGGTGGAGGTTGTTGAGGAGAGTAAGTTTCTTGGTCTAACCTTATTGTTAAGAAAGCTCGCCAACGTCTATACTTTCTGTGGAAACTTAGAGAATTTACAAACAACTCTAAGATTTTTCTGAACTTCTAC